TATGAATGCCAAAATAGGCAAGGAACCGCAGTTCTATGGCACAACAGGAAAACACTCACTGCACAATGAAACAAGCGAGAATGGGGAGTTTTTGATAAATTTTGCCACCAGTAAAAACATGGTTATAAGCTCCACATGCTTCCCACATAAAGACATACACAAAATGACGTGGATCTCACCAGATGGAACCACAACCAATCAAATTGACCATGTGATGATAGACAAAAGGGCAGCCAGTAGTATCTCTGATGTGAGAACACGACGAGGAGCATGCTGTGGATCAGACCATCTTTTACTGCAAACCAAATTTAGGTGCAGAGTTAACAGAGAAAGAAACGAAAGACAACAAAGAACAAACAAACTAGACCTGGAAAAACTGAAGACTCAGGAATGTAGAGAGAAGTTCGAGCAAGAAGTCACAAATGAGCTAAGGACACAAGAACTGCACTCCATAGAGAGCAAATGGAATAATATCAAAACAGCAGTGCTGACAGCAGCAGCGTCCACCGTGGGAAACAAGAAAAAGAAGAGAAGAGGAACATGGTTTGATGACGAGTGCAGGCAAGCGATAGAAGAAAGAAACGAAGCGCACAAAATGTACATAACAAGAAGAACACGGGAAAGACGAACATCATTTGAAGTCGCAAGACGGAAAGCAGACAAGATATGCAGAAACAAAAAGAGAGCTTATGAAAATGGACAAATAGAAGAAATGGAACAAAATTTCAAAAAAAAACGAAATTAGAGGAGCTTACGAATACCTAAAAAAGATAAAAAGTGGATATAAACCTCAAACAAGCCTATGCAAAGATGAAAGTGGGCAAATAATCAGTGACCAACAGAAAGTCACAGAAACCTGGAAGCATTATTTTCAGACCCTACTTGGAACACAAGTAGATATGGAAGATGAAATGGGTACGAACCATGTAGAAGAGAACGAAGTTGAAGTAGAAGCTCCAACCATAGAGGAAGTTCTCGAAGCTATTAAGGCCCAGAAAAACAATAAAGCCCCGGGAGTTGACGAGATTCCAGCAGAACTGTATAAGGTAGGTGGCAACCACCTATCAAGTCATATCCACGCGCTTATCAAAGAAATATGGCAAGAAGAGAAAATACCCGACGAATGGAAGAAAAGTATAGTATGCCCAATCTATAAAAAAGGAGACAAACTCCAATGCAAAAACTACCGTGGAATTTCTCTACTATGTACAGCGTATAAAGTCCTCACGTATATTATAAACCAGCGACTCCAACCACTAGCAGAAAATATTATTGGAGAATATCAGACGGGCTTCAGACGGGGAAGATCGACAATGGATCAAATATTTACAGTCAAGCAGGTCTTGAGCAAATCGTGGGAACACGACATTGATGTTCACAACGTGTTTGTAGACTTCAAACAGGCATACGATTCAGTCAAAAGGGACAGACTATACTATATATTGGCAGAATTAGCAATACCACATAAGCTAATTAGACTCATTAAAGCCACAATGGATGAAACTCAGGCATGTGTACGAATACAAAACAACCGGACAGACTTTTTCAAAATCTCGCAGGGACTAAAGCAGGGAGATGGGCTGGCACCAACATTGTTTAACCTGGCACTGGAGTATGCGGTCAGGCAAATGCAAACTGGACGAGAAAACCTACTGACCAATAAAACGGTTCAACTGGCTGCCTACGCCGATGATATTAATATTATGAGTAGAACATCAACAGGAGCACAGGAAGCATACGCAGAGTTAAAAACACAAACGAAAAGGCTAGGTCTGGAAATTAACACAGAAAAAACAAAAATAATGGTACAGACGAGAAGAAATATAATCCCACAAAACATTATACATGAAGATGACATTGAAACGGTTGGAAAGTTTACATACCTGGGAGTAGAAATATATGCCGATGGAGCAGAGGATGGAGAAATACGAAAAAGGATAACGCAGGCAAACAAAGCTTATTTTGCCCTCTCCCATATATTTCGGTCTAAAAGTGTCCACCGAAATACAAAGATGAGAATATATAAAACTTTAATTCGGCCAATAGCATGTTATGGCAGCGAAGCATGGGTCCTGAAAGAAACATCCAAAAACAAACTCGACACATTCGAAAGAAAAGTACTGAGGAGAATACTAGGACCTGTGAGGGAAAACGGAATCTTCAGAATTCGATATAACAACGAGCTCTATCAACTGTATAAGGAAACACCCCTGTCAAACTTCATTAGAATACAAAGATTGCAATGGGCCGGACATGTGATACGAATGGGAGAGGATAGGCTACCAAAACGAGCACTGAACGCCAGAATGCAGGGAAAGAGACCAGTTGGAAAGCCAAGAAAGCGCTGGGAAGACACAGTAAGCAGCGACGCACAAGCACTTTTAGGAGTCCGTGTATGGAGAAGAGCAGCCACAGACAGACAAGGGTGGAGGCAAAAAATAAAGGAGGCCAAGGCTCATTTTGGGCTGTAGTGCCGTAGAAGAAGAAGAAGATGTCATGTGTTTGTCTTTTTAAAGACGAATTACATGCTATGATTTTTTTTCTGACGGATATTCTCAAGTTAAAGTTGATTTCATGTAATCGAATGAACTATCTTATAAGTAAAGTCGTCCCAGGAGCGCAACTCAACAATATTGGCAATATCATTTTAAAGTCTTCTACTTTAAAATGCATAATGTATGTCTGAATTGTCAATATAAATGAGTCAGATAAAATTAAATTATTAGAAGAATTTTTCACTATGTAACAAAAAACAAAATTTGTTTAATTTACTGTTTGTATTTTGAGAACGATTTCCGAAGTGGAAATTGAAACGTCAATAAATTGTGGTTTTTTGTGTATTTTTATCTTTAATTGTGGCTTATTCCCAGTTTAATAGTAACTATTTTACTTAGTTAAGGAAAATTGAATTCACTAAATTAAATTACGTTAGGAAATAATTGACTGCCTTTCCGTCTTTCCGTTTCTTTGATCATTGCTAGCTGAAGTTCGTCAATTTCAATATTCCTTATAATATTATTGTCTATTACTAAGTTAATTGCACTAATAAACCAACAGTTTTGGTTAACCTTGAAGAAATACATTTTCAAATAATTGCATCATTGTAAAGGCGATTAGAAGACCTTTCAAATAAAAAGTACCGCGACCTCGGTTTTATATAACTATTAATGGCCATTCAAAAATTAAATTTGACGTGTTTTAAGTTTTTTTTTAAGTCGTTTCTTTCTGAAATAATGAATTTATTTCATATTTTTTCATCATACTTAACTAAGTACATAATTCTTGTTAACCCTGTAGAAATAAATATTCTAATTATACATCGTTGCAAAGGTGATTAGAGGACTTTTCGAAAGAGGTGTCCCGTGACTTCGGTTTGTATCAAAAAAAAAAAAAATCGTAAGACGTAATGTCGCACACATATATAGCAATTGATGGCCATTCAACAATTAAAATTGACCTGTTTTAATATTTATTTTAAAGTGAATTTATTCTACTCATTTACATTATACTGTATAATGCGTAATGAACAACGATACAACCTATTTCTAACCACACTTCAAGGTAAGGTGCTTGGAAAATGGAGTACAGGAAGAAAAAAATCATGTTATACCATGCGTAACCTTTTTTACATATTGCTCATAGACGTAATGTCGCACACATATATAGCAATTGATGGCCATTCAACAATTAAAATTGACCTGTTTTAATATTTATTTTAAAGTGAATTTATTCTACTCATTTACATTATACTGTATAATGCGTAATGAACAACGATACAACCTATTTCTAACCACACTTCAAGGTAAGGTGCTTGGAAAATGGAGTACAGGAAGAAAAAAATCATGTTATACCATGCGTAACCTTTTTTACATATTGCTCATAGAAAGGTCATCAATGGATATACTATAAAGGCAGCCAGATGATTGGTGGAGAGGAGAGTGAGTCGTGAGTTCAAACTAGCTTTTGGAATCGGTATTTTGCATAACAGAAAAAATTATTAAAGATAAGATAAGATAGGATAGATAAATGGATCGATAGAAAAATAGATAAAGGGAAATGTATGGAAGGTTACCATAGAAACGAAAAGATAAAAGAAGGGCGCTAGTTAACTTTTTATAAATAAAAGGGGAAGGCTAAAACCTTAGGTGTCGAAGAGATATAAGAAACAAGAAACAACAGTGGTTAAACGTTGTCAACACACTATATAAATAGATTGCAAATATATTCGGTAGAAATAGTCCACTCACTTACCTATAAGACTGATATAGTCTGATCTTTCCTTCTGGTCGAAATATAGCAAAGCAAATACTTAAATCTAATAGGTAATCAGAGAACGTGTTGGTAGTAGAGAAATACCATGCGTTACTTAAACAAAAAACAATGCATTTGCACAAACAATTAAATATACGCACAAAGTGAACGTAAAAAAACTCAACCAGCAGTAAAAAGAGTAGAAAAAGAAGAAACAAATAAGAACATTTGGTTCGGTTGATAGTTACGCGTATCACGCTCCTAAAATAAATTTAGGGACACAATCGGTAAGGTCACAGTCAGGTTGAAGTTAAAATAACGAACACTTTTAAAGTTATATCAGGGAAAATATTTATATAAAAATAAAATATATAAAAAATTTAGAACTCAAATTCAAAATTTTACCAGAAAAAACATTTTGCCGAAAATTCAAAGTACTCCATTAAATTTAGTTTTTTATCCTTTTTTAAACCAGCGAGAATTTTAGAATATTCGCGTGCCAAATATAAAAGTTGGGAAAATAGAAAAAAGGCCCAGTATCCTATTATTGATGAAGTAAGACCCATTAATTATAGGATCATTAAGATGCCTAACCGTTCCATTCTTACAGTTAACGTATGTTACTTTCAAAAAAGAAACACCTTATATGTGTTAAAAACACCGTTTTTAATATTACTCTGTAATGTCCTTAACGTTTATTCAATCCATGCTTATAGAATGTTTATTTTAATCTTTATATATCGTTCTAGATGACAACACCACAGAAATATGCGGCAATTCCAAACTTAATTGTCTTTTAGAAGCAGAACGTAAGTAGATTTTTTTATAATATTTATTTTACGTTGGTTATCTGCTAAAAGTGAATTTTCATTAATATTTTTGTGTGAGTTTCCTTAGTTTATCTTTACATCTAAAACTAACAGCCATCTGCACTCATTCTCTAACATTTGTTAACTTTACACAAAATATTTACACCAGACATCCAATTGTTCAATATATCAACAACTATATCCATGTCTTCACTTCCCTGGACAATCATCTAAGAATACTTCCATATCGGAATTAAAGGCAACGAAACCGCTAATCCAGTTGCAGACGCAGTATTAGGATCAACCACTTATCCTGAAAAAATCCAATTTGACAAAGATCTAAAACATCTCTGTAATCTTCTTAACTTTAATTGATGGCAAACCTACTAGAATGGGCTTCAATCCAAATTGAAACAATGTCAATCACACGTAAGAAGACTACGAATTGGACATACCAGGTAAACAGATCGATATATGATGGTGTTTGAGACTTCATCTTATCCCGTCGTCCGTTATTGAGCAAACAAACTTTAAAATACGGATCCGGACACGAAAAATTAAAGTTAGTGTGCTAAGACTTTAACTGCCATCTTACTATGAAACATAAGCTTTTACACCATCTAATATGCCAAAACGAACGACTAATCGTGAATTAAAGGTAAATAAACTTAGGTGGGTCTCTAAATTCACCAATCGTTATACATTACTTCAAATTTCTTCAGGATATAGACATGTTTCATCAAATTTAAATATGCATCTACTTATAATTCCCTACTATATTAATAGACTTTTAAGTGATCTTTTGTATAATATTTATTGTATCTGTGTCAAATATCACTTTAATTAAAAAAAAACTGACACAATCTCCAGATTGACCTGCATCTATATCTGAAATGGATCTTTATAAACTACTACCATAACAACTACTTTGACGATAAAAATAAGGCTTATAAAATATTAAAAGTTGTCCAAAGAAAACAGCTGTGTGTTCTTTGAAAATCCTATAAATTTTTAACCTATTTAAGGAGAAATTAAAATTTTGGAAATTAATACTGATCCAAAGGGTTTCAATACCCACTGCCATTGCTTACCTCTATGTACCCAGCTGCACTACCAAGCAACTACATCAACGTATAACTGGAAATGGAAAGAATATTTTCTGGCAAATAAAAAGTTAAAACGACAATTTAACTACACAGAAAATGAACTAAATACAGTGTAAGTATAAATCCAATTTATTATAATTTGTCTAATAGTTAATAATTTAAAATCTGAAAAATCATGAATATTGTTGAGCATTCATGTATCTAAATATACGTCAACTAAAGTAAACTGGAATAAATATATGAAACTTGTTCTTAAGTTGATCATATTCATGTTTTTAAAGATTTATAATAAAATTTTTATATATCGATACATTTTTGGCAAAGTAACGTAAGTGACATTTTTGGCGAAAATAATGTTTTTCAATTAAACTAATGCAATTACTATTAAAAAGGTATTGAAAAAGTGTAGTAAGTCTAGAATTACTTTAAACCTTTTTTAGGACAAGTAGGACAAGTTTTTTTTAGTCATAATTTAAATAAGTTTAACCAGGTTGAATTAAAAAATTGTTTTTTCTACAAATCGTTTTTGTGACTTACGTTACTTTGCCAAAAATGTATCGATATGTAAGTGAGAGCTCTTTCACATCGTGGTGACATAAAAACCAACAAAATAAATGCATGTGCACTCGCATAACATGCAATAACTTAAAAACATGAGTTAAATTTTGAGGATTCCTGTTTTTTGGCAAAAAAACCATGCAAAACGTGTTTTCTTGGAAATGTGTTTCATAAAATCTAGTACATCTTGCATAAATAAAAAGTCTGACATAGATAAATTGAGCAAGATTTATTGTTATTTACTGGAAAATCATCAATAATAACATAAATAACTACCTTTACATATTTTTGTATGCATAACTGGTTGCATACCATTAAGACAGATTTAATAATTAAAAATAAAACTACCCAATATAGGCCTTTTGATTCTTGAAAATAAATACAATATTAAGAACAACTCATTACTTTTTAATAACATTGTTTTTACTTTCTGTTCTCTATATATCAGAGTTAGAACACACTATCAAAAGATGTAATGAAATAAACTAAGTTTTACTATCCTGACTAAAATTTCTAGAATGTATTGTTATTTAAAATTTTATATGTATTTTAGAATTGTATATTAATGTTGTTATTATATTTTATATTTGTGTTAATATTGTGTCCAAGTTTATTTTAAATAATCTCAACGACTAGTAAGTTACACTGACGAATTGTGATATTTTGTAAATATTTACACATTTTTTTTATCTATATAGTTCACGTGTGAGATTTCGACATCATAGATGTACACTTGACCGTATGTAGGGACTGAACCATCAGTTAACGTCCAATTTCCTAAACGGTGATAAATGTTTCCATGAACGCGAAGAAAGTATGGACCATTTCTTGAATCACTGTCGAGGCTCATTCCAGTGCTGACCATTGCCAAGGAAGAGTTGTAGAAGCGTATGTTTTTCTTATAGTTAGCAGAAAGTTCAGTGGTTGAATTCAGCAACTCTTCAAGGTAGGACAATGAATGAAGAGGTTCAAGGCGAACTTTGCCTTTGTCACAGCATCGAGTGAAACCCCCTCCTGTTCCTTCTTTTTCACAGGGAAAAAACTTTGCGTTGCCGAATGTACATGTCTGATTCAGTTCTCCAAGTGAATGTTGTGGAGTGGTGATGTCATCAATGAAAGCTAGGCGAGTTTCTCTATTCTGTTGTTGAGTTGCTCGCAGGTTTCTTTCACGGTGTTCCAGAGTATATGGACGGAGCCGCGAGTTCTCAAACCGACTTCTTTTTCTTAAACGTGGCATTTTACAATCTAAAATATGCAAAAAAAGTTACTTCCGGTTTTACTTCCGTTTTTTATTTAAGAGGGGCGGAGTCTAACAATCATATTGTTTCCGTTTCATAATGTAAATCTTCCTGAAAGTCCTAAAAAACTACTGTATCGATTTTCAATTTAAAAAAATTGTCGTCGATACAGTTTATTGTTGGGATTTTTGGAACATTTACACCAGGCGACGAAAACGATGGATCGTTAGACTCCGCCCCTCTTAAATATCAGCAAAACTTACATCAAAATTCGATGTCAAGTTGGTCCGATAGTAGATAGTATATATATATATATATATATATATATATATATATATATATATATATATATATCTGATGAAGAATTGATGAATAATCAAAATAATTATCATTTTTTACTTTCAGGCACTTCTCATCTTTAAAAATTTTCTTTAAATCAGAGCAGTTTTTGTCGCACGAAAAAAATGAATTGTATGGTATATTCGATTTTATTTCGAATTTTGGAGGTCTTCTAGGTCTATTTACAGGATTTTCTCTCCTGACAATGGCAGAAGTTATTTATTATCTTTCACTGAGGTTGTGGTGCAACAAAAGATTGTACAATGACGTCTCTGGACCATCAGATGATTCTGAACCAAAAACTGATATGAACAATTTACGAGATTTAATCGAAATGGAATATTAAATTTTTTGTGCTATTTCTTGCATTATAATAAACATTTTTTAAGTAAATATCAAATTTTGTTTCATTCTCCTTACTTTAATAACTAAAGACTATATATTTATAGCATTTTTCAAAGTTACAACGTTGCACGTCACAATTTATATAATGTGACATCACTTTAACAAGGATACAATGGATACAAGGATAGGTGACATTTTTCGTTTTAGGTTCCAGTCAACAACAAAAAGAAAAAAAAAGATAGATGATAAAAAAATTGATGGAATACACTGTTGGATAAGCCTTCTATGACACTATCATCCGATGGCCAACGATTGAAATCACCAAAGTGCAATTTTTTCAAAAAATTATAAATCAGAAACTCAAAGGAAAATATATTATTCCAATGATTAAGTAAAAAAATATTTGAAGGAGATTAGAGTTATACTTAAGCTGCAAATCAGTTTTTTCGGGCTTCCAAAAGTTGAAAGAAGCGTGGTGGTTTCTGAAATAAACGATTCCATTGACCTTATGTTTAGTAGTGGTAGCATGTTCTGCATTTTAACACATGTGTGTTAAAATAAATTAATATCACTACGGTGGGAGGCTAGTCTACCCTTATGTGACCGCCCAGTCTGACCTATGTAACAAGAATTACATTCAGCACAGGTAAAGAGCAAGGTAAAAATGTGGCAAACAACATTGCATTTTTACTAGGGGATATAAACGTAAATAAAATTACTTAAACCTTTAATTGTGGCTTATTCCCATTTAAATAGTGACTAATTGTAGTAATTCTGAAAACACATGTCAAGAGACAGGTGACTTTGTTTGGATAGAACAATAATGGATGTTTAAGAAAGACAAAACACTTGCTACAGGTAAGTTAATGAAAAGTGAAACTACAACCAAACTTACTGAAATGTACCCTTGTGGTACCTGAAATTTAATAATGATTTCACTAAATTAAAAGGAATCAACTATGATAAATTAAAATCATCTCTCATCTCGAGAGACCCTGATTTCAAACTAATTTTTACTGATGCCTCTAAAAGCAGTAATGGTGTAGCTGCTGCAGCTATTTTTGAATCTGTCACCCGTCTAGCCAAGGACTGTAGCATATATACTGGAGAACTGCAAGCAATCTTCAACGCACTGAACCAATGTACCAGCAATGATATAAATTTTCTTATTATATCAGATTCTCTGAGTGCCTTAAATGGTGTCAAGCAGATGTATCCTACTCATGCCAATTTAGCACTAATGCTATACAATGCCCAAACACGTGGTAAAAACATAACATTTTTATGGGTACCATCCCATGTTGGGATAAAGGTTAACGAAGCAGCTGATAAAGCAGCAACAGAAACTATCAATAACGTGACAATTCCTATTATGCAAAACATACCAATTTCAGACCAAAAAACATTAATAAAAACTTACATTAACAAAACCTAGCAAGTAAAATGGAGGCAAACAGAAGCAAAATTAAAAATTATCAAACCAGATATTACTTCTGCTTTACTACCGCTCCCAGCTCAAAGACATGACCAAGTAGTTATTAACAGACTGCGGCTAGGTCATACTAAATTTACACATGGATACATCATCTCCAAGGACCCCCAGCCGATTTGCCACACCTGTCAAATATCATTTTCAGTATAACATATAATGATAGAGTGTCCAGTGTACTCAACAGCAAGATCGACAGCAAAAATGAAACACAATTTGAAAGAAACTCTAAAAGAAGACATTAGTAATACAATAAATTCTATCAAAAAATGTAAACTGTATAACAAACTGTAACATCACATTTTTTGTACTTTTCAAAACTGTTATGTAAATTTTAATAATATACTAAGTGTAACTTTTCTAAAATAAAGATATATCACCCTGCTAATAACCCTAGGGTTTGATGCGATAAAAAATCATCTTTATAATTATAAGATTTAGATAAAATATATGTTAAAAACTTAGCAACCTTGGTGTTAGGAGCGTTAATTGAATTTATGTGCGATATGAAATGTCTCTTAAGAAGCGGCGCTCCATAATTGCGATTCCCTGTCTCCTTGTATCGCTGTCCTGTATCCTTGTATCCCGGTCCCTGTATCCTTTTGCAATGTTAGTGTAGAAGTTGTCATATTGAACCTTTTGTTTTGGTTTATGTGGTATATCTTTGTGTAGTACAGAGATGAAGAGATATAAATCAAAATGTGTACATTTGTGCAATCGATTTTGAAAAGGCTTTTGACAAAGTAAAATAATGACAAAATAAAATAATGACAAAATAAATATAAAAAGAGGAGTGAGACAAGGCTGTATATTGTCGCCTTTACTTTTTAATTTATATTCGGAGGAAATATTTAAGGAAAATGGAGACAACCGAAGGTATTATTGTGAATGAAGTAATCGTCAACAATATTAGATATGCCGACGATACCTTAGTGCTTCCTAATTGCGGAGAAGACCTTCAAAATTTAATAAAGAAAAAAAACAGTCTTGTGATCAGTATGGATTAAAACTCAACGTTAAGAAAACTAAATGTATGGTAGTTAGTAAACAAAATTATATACAGGATGACGGTATAAAAGTCGGAGATGCCACACTGGACAGAATAGAGAAACTCGTGTATCTCGGCAGTAATATCAATGAGAACTGAGATCCAACCGCAGAAATTAAAAGCCGAATAGAACAAGCCCGAGCTGCCTTTGTAAAAAAGAGAAACGTACTTTGCAGTCACGATCTTAGTATTAACCTTAGAGTTCGAATGACTTCTTTCTACATCTTTTCTGTCCTGCTGTATGGAGTGGAAGCGTGAACTCTATCTGAGGCTACCCTTAAACGCTTGACAGCCTTCGATTATACATATATATACAGACGAATACTGAAAATAAGCTGGGTCAACAGAGTTAGAAATAAGAAGGTCCTTAGACGGCTGAACCAAACAATACAACTGGTCAATATAATAAAGAAACGCAAGCTGGAATACTTCGGTCACATTATGAGACACCCTGAAAAATATGATCTTTAACATCTGATCATTCAGGGAAAGATCCAAGGTAACCGTGGTCTTGGTAGAAGAAGAACATCATGGCTGAAAAATCTAAGGCAATGGTATGGAAAATCATCTACAGCGTTATTGAAAGCTGCTGTCAATAAAGTCACGATAGCGAATATGGTAGCCAACATCATATCCAACGATCGATAACGGTCATGGAACTAGAAGAAGAAGAATCTTTGTGTATTCTAAAGAGTATTGAAGAGTTAGTAGGATGTCTCTACCCAACCTAGCTACCAAAGTTTTTATATCTAGGTGTTTTCCCACATCCGAAGTGATTTGTGTCACCGAAATCTCGGTCGTTTACCCCCTTTCGTGTGCTATATAACGCACACTCATTATACGTCATGTAGGTACCTAATGGGTATATATACAGATTAGTGCTTTCAATGACGCGACAGTGAAATTTGTTGGCACAGTTGACTTTTTCCTAGAAGTCGTAATCCGTTTAATAGATAACACTACCTATAGGTACATTTCTCAGAGTTTTGTTACGAATTGTTTATTTATTACAAAAGCATTTTGTATTAGTATTATTTAAATAAATAAATAACCATTTTCAAAATGTCTTTTTGTCAAACTAAAACGTATAGTACCCTTCGTTGAGATCTTTATATTTTACAATAATTTTCCCCTCCGAATTCATACAAAATATGTTACCTATCAGAATCCTGGCTAATAAAACTGACGCATACTTTTAGGAATTATCTGATGATTAAATTGATATCTTACTGATAACGGAAAACGGTATATCTATTTATATAATACTAATAGTTACACCTTAATCTAAATTTAGTGTGATTTTGCCAAGACACGAGTCATGGCTTCAGCAAATTTATGCTTGTGTACTTTGATATTAATTTCCATCTCTCAAATATGTTTTGGGGTGAGTATTTTTTAATGTTAAGTTAAGTTACTCTAATAACTGGACTCATTAAATTGCATTATTTGTTACAAGTTCCTTGTTTGCAGTTACTGTAACTATAAGATTTAAAAAAAACGTAATTTGCTTTACTACTTCTTAATAAAATAGGTATTGCTTTTATAAAAACCTCAATAAAACAAAATTTATTTAACTAAGAAAATTAATTATTCATTTCATTTCATTCATCAGCAAAGGAAGGTTAAATAAAAGTTACCTATGAATAATTTGAGTTTTTTCTTCGAAACTTCTGAATTATACGCGAATGGATATGTAGACGCCAAGATAGCGCTTGCGTACATTTATTCACTGGTTAGTATAAAACATATAGGCCAAGCCATTTTTGCTTTCGAGGTGCTTTCGAGTTTGTGCTCCTGCCTGATAAGCTCCATATAGAGCGAAAATAGGACTAGGTGACCGGAACGCCTACTTTTAGCCATAAAATTGCGAAGAATTGCTTCATCAGTACAATGCTACCAGATTAGAATAGATAAAATAAATTCTAGACAGGATCACTATAGGTACACTGCACCCTTTTTGCAGGATTATTACTAGAAGATGTTGGTTCCCAGAGGAAACAAGCTATAGAAATAGCTACCTCTGTTATAATATTAATTGTAACTCTCGGAAGTCGGGTGTTGTATTTTGATGCCACGAAATGGTTAGCTTTCATGTAGATTCCTGCGAACACCAATAAGTCAGAATATCTATTTAACGTTGTTTTCTATTTATTTGCGTGTACAAATTTTCTTTATCTACCTATATCCTTTTTTTCTGTTGTATTCTGTAATGAGCAATATTTTTTTCAGAGATTATACATTTAAGTCAAATTAACTGGAATACACTCTTACTCTATATACGTTTTGCTATTGCAATTGCTAATAAAAGCATTTTATGTAACACTACACTTGACTATATTATATACCTACGAGTATATACTTTTAAAAAACAAATTACTTTTTGTCTGTGCAAATAACACTCATTGTGTACTTATTGATAATCCTTGAGAAATAAAATCAATAATGATAAATTATATATTTAAAAATAGATAAAAATACTTTGATAACAATTCTTAACAATATAATTATGTATACTATATACAGTGTGTCAATTTTAAAATCTACAGTGGACTATATCTCACGAACAAAAGCTGATATCGAAAAAGACTTGACACTGTTTCTAGGATAGTAAGGGGGAACTAAGATGACATAAAAGAGAACTCATCCCATCAATCCCCTAGACCCCACCCACCACAACCAAAAAAGTTTAAATTGCAAATCGTTACTTGTAATACGTCATTGAAAAGTCTATAAAAATTCTATCCAATGGTATAAATAATAATTATACAGGGTGAAGCAATAATTGTAAAACTATGCCTTAAATAAAGAAATTACTAATGTTTTAGTTGATTCTGTTGATGACCCTGTAAGGGTGTTAATATCAGCCGGCTTACTATGACTTTTGTATTTGTAATGCTATCTCCCGGACTATTATTTTTAATGATAAGTGCCCGTCGGATTTTTTTTGTTAAATAAAAATTAATTTGCAAAACAAGTTGAAAACATCTGTTTTTTGGGTTCTTTCGGATTTAATAATTTTTGGTTTATTTGAGAATTTTAAATGTCATTAGTTTTCATCATTTGTACGATGGTTACTGTCAATCAGCTGTAGTTGTTACGATGGTTTACAGTATACCTGAACGCGTATAGCAAGTATATGCAAAATAAAAAAAGGGATGCCCCAAGATTGAGTCAGGTGATTCTGTTAGATAGTTGTTGAAATTACAGTTTAACAGTGAAAGTTTTATCCGTACAAAACACAAATTCTTCAAGAGCTAGGCGATGATGATCCAGACCGACGAATTGAGTTTTGTGAACTTATGACTGAAAGAATATGCGTTGACCCGAGAATGTTAAAAAATATTTGTTTCAATGATGAATGTACTTTTATGTTGAATGCTAATGTTGAAAACTGTCGGTACTGGAGTGATGCGAACCCGCTATAACTGGCCCCTTGTTCATACCAGGCAATTTAAGTGGAGACATTTATATCGATATGCTGAAAAACACCATTTAATTTACCATTTATTTAAATCAACCTTTAATTGTGCATGAATTAGACCAGACTTACCGCCACCTGACTTTTTTCTATTGGGCTACCTCAAGTCAGTTGTTTATAAAACTCAATCTGCGTCACTTGGGGAATTGCGAGAAAGAATTACGCAATCATGTCGCGCTATTACTAGAACAACATTTGCTAAAGGTCGTGCAGAATTTGAAAATAGGCTATATTATTGTTTACAAAACAACGAAACCCACTTTGAACATTTATTTATTTAATATTTTTAACAAATTTGTAGTTCAACAAAAACCTCATTAAATTTTCCATTTAAGCCAAAGTTTCACAATTATTGCTTAACCCTGTATAATTATTATTTATACCATTGGATAGCATTTTCATAGTCCTTTCAATGATGTATCACAAGTATGGGTTTGCAATTTAAAAACTTTATTGGTTGTGATGGGTGGGGCCTAGGGGGTTGATGGGGGTGAGTTCTCTTTTATGTCACTTTATTTCCACCTTAGAAAACCTAGAAAAGGTTTCAAGCATTTTTCGGTGTCAGCTTTTGTTCGTGCAATATAGCCCATTGTTTTAAAACACACTCTATATTTACTAAAATGTTTAATATTGAAAATTGTTTTTTAGCCTAGTTTCTAGTTCATTAGTTTTGTGTAACATTTAGCTGATATAAATCACATTTTCTTAGAGTGTCAAAAATATACTGAACATACAGATATGCTGTACAAAGAAATGAAAAATTTTGTAAGTCTACCAACTAACATCCCTACTTTCTTAGCACAACAAGAAAAAGAAATATACATTTAAATCAAGTTTGTTTAAAAAAAATAGATATTTAGCTTCTATATGGTTAAATATATATATATATATATATATATATATATATATATATATATATATATATATACAGTGCGTTAAGTTTTGGATTAGGTATACACTCTATAAATGGCAACACTGCGCGTCTTCGACTTGCACTACATATCTGCTTCGTTGACTCGTCGTTGCACGTCGCCGGTCGGCAAATTTGTCATATTGTCATTATACCGTGGTTGTTTAAAGGTATAACAGCGTAGAGTTTTAATTTATTTTTGTAAACATGTCTGTTTATATGGCCGTGGAAAAAGCTCAAATAATAAAATGGTTTTATAGTGGCAATTCTGCGCAACAGTGTGTAGATTTATTTTCTGTGTTTTTTGAGGGAAGACCAATTCCTTGTGTACAGTCAATTTATAATATTGTTAAAAATTTTGAGAGTTGTTATTGCCTCAAAAATTGCAGAAAATGTCACGCTCGAGAAGTGTTACCAGAAAAAGTTGAGGAAAGAGAATACCGGGATACACAAATTTGTGCAACAATCGAGGTAGATTCAACACGTTCAAGTAGAAGCGTTGCTAGAGAGTTAGATGTTAGCAATGTTACTGTAACGAAAGTATGGAAAAAGCACGGTTACAAGAATTTTAAATATTCGAAAACGCAGCAGCTTTATCCAGACGATTACTTTCGAAGAATGGAGTTTTGTGAAACTCTAATAACGAAGGCTAATAGTGAACCAAATTTTATTAAAAACATTTTATTCACTGATGAATCTTCTGTTTCGTTAGTAGGGAGACACAATCCTTCCATTACGAGGTATTGGGCGCCGGAAAACCAGCACAGAAGTGTTGTTTACCGAACTCAACGTCCTCAAAAAGTTAACGTCTGGACTGGCATTTTAGGAGACCACATAATAGGTCCATTTTTTATTGAGGGCAACTTGAATAGTAGAGTATAACTCGATTTGTTACAGAATCATGTTCTTCCCGCTATTCTCAATCTTCCTGATGTAAATCTGGAGAATGTTTGGTTTCATCAAGACGGCTGTTCAGTTCACAACGCTCGAATTATTAGGGAGTATTTAAACAATACTTTCCCGAATCGAGTTATCAGTGGAACAGGCGATATTAAGTGGCCTGCGCGATCTCCAGATCTTACACCTATGGACTTCTTTTTTTGGGGACATTTAAAAAGCATTATCTACGCTCATTCTGAGGCTAGAGCCCAAAATTTGGATGAATTAAAAAATCGAATAAGAGAAGTCTCCAATTCTGATACAGCAGAAACTCTTTCATCTGTTTGCAGAAGTTTTTATGACAGATTGGGGTACTGTTCAGCCGTAGAAGGTCAACTATTTGAACCATTTCTGTAGGTCATAAAGAATTATTTTTTATTTTATTAGGAATAATATTTTAATTTTCAATAAGAGTATATTTTTTATTTTATCTTTTTAAAGAAATACGCTTTTATTTTTAATTCAACCACAAAAAAAATTTCACATTAATAAAAATCGATAACAATGCACCGATTAGTTCAGTGCATTTTTATCGAATTTCCTACTATTAAAATCGGCTTTACGTAATGAAACATGAGATCGGACGACAGAGAAGTACATCCCTAACGTTGTTGTGAGTTACTAAACTAAAATAAATGATTTTCTGTCGGTGTAGATTTTCGGGTCGGAGAACGAATATTTGCAACGTTGCCGATTTTAGCGCTCCGTATAGTGTGCAATACCTAATCAAAAACTTAACGCACTGTATATATATATATATATATATATATATATATATATATATATATATATATATATGTTTTTACAAACATTATGTAATTAGAATCCAAACCTCTGTTTTACCCCATTTGTTAATACCTCCTGCCCGTGACCTAGTCTAGTTTGTCTTAATAAACATGTATTGATGGGTCTCTAGACAAGAAACGAGTGGCCATGTTTTTATCCTTATCCTATCCTTAATAATAAAAAATAATAATACAAATATTTTGTGGCCAATAGATATGTTTTAATGCCATCCACTATCTACACACACATACACACATTGCTTTCGTGACGTACAGTAGGACAAGCAGCCTCTAACGTAAAATTCACTTCAGTGTTCAGTTTGGTACAAATAAATAAATTTATTTATAACAGAACTAAAGCATCTTTATTTAGGTATCTCTATTCGATTATCATCGGATTCAAAAAAGAAGAAAATTGTTACATTGAAAGCTACCGATTTAGAACTTTGAAATTCAATTTCTGAACCGGAAATGGTTAAATACATGGGAGAAAAAGGAATAAACTGGCTATGGAAAATATATAAAGAGGCGTGGGAAAAACAAACAATACCTAAAGACTGGCAGAAGAATATCATCGTGCCAGTATACAAAAAAGGAGAACATGTAAACTGCGACAACTATAGAGCAATATGTCTGTCATCGGTATGTTTTAAAATATATACGAAAATAATAGAGAAGAGACTGAGACAAGAAGTAGAAATGGTATTGGGAGAAGAACAAACGGCATTTAGACCGGGAAGACAGACAAATGACAACATATATATCATTAGAAACCTAATAGAAAGAAGCATAGATACGGGCGAAAAACTAGTATTAGCATTCATCGACCTAAGAGCAGCATTTGACACGATAGAAAGATTTAATTATAGGGAAATGCTTGAGAAAAATAAATGTACCTAATGAATTGATAAAAATTATAGAAAGTACTTACAAAGAGGTAAAAGGAAGGGTACAAATAACAGGGGAAAGATCGGAAGCATTTAATTGGAAGAGAGGTATTAAACAAGGAGATAGTCTCAGCCCTTTGCTATTCATAATAGTAATGAACGAATTGTTAAGAAACACTAGAATCAGAACCAATCAACTACAGACAATAATAGGTTACCACAGATTACAACCGGTAACAATTGAGTCCTTAATGTATGCAGACGACATAGTACTAATAGCAGATTCCGAGAATAAAATGCAGAAACTAATGGATATATGGGTAGAACAAATAGAAGAACTAAAAATGGAGATAAACGAGAAAAAAAGTAAGATAATGATAATCAGCGTCAATGGAGATCAGGAAGATAATCAAATAAAGATAAAATGTAAAAACTCAGAATTGGAAATAGTATCAACTTACGAATACCTGGGAAGTATAATAACTAATGATGGAAAAATAGACTGGGAAATAACAAATAGAGCAAAGAAATCAAACAAGTTATACTATGCGTTAGCCCCAATAATGGGAAAAAAGAGAACTTACACGAGAAACAAGAATAAAAATATATAACACAATAGTGATACCGACTGTGCTCTATGCAAGTGAAAACTGGACAATTCTGGAAAAACATAAGAGCAGGATAAACGCAATGGAGATGAGACATCTAAGAAGGATAGTTGGAAAGACAAAATGCGATAGATTAAGCAACGAGACTATTAGGAGAATGGCCAACCGGGAACCGATAATGAACAAAATAGCAAAGAGACAAATGATCTGGTATGGGCATCTGACGAGGATGCAATCCAATAGAATAACAAAAAAAGTTTATGAAGCAAAAAATATCGGAAAAAGAACAAGAGGCAGACCAAGAAAAAAATGGATACAGCAAGTAGTAAAGGCGGGAAAATTTAAACAAAAATCACTCGAGGAATTGAAAATAATGGCAGGAAACAGAAAAGAATGGAAGAGGTGGGTAAATGGAAATTAAAATAGCTAGCCCAAATCCGACACCCTGATAGGGTAAAAGGAAGGGGAGAAAGAAAGAAAGAAAGAAAGAAAGAAAGAAAGAAAGAAATTCAATTTCCTAAGATCGTCCAAACTGTTCTTTCCAAACACCAAGATCCAAAAAAATACATGAAGGATAAGAATTTGGGAATAGATATATAAAAGTGTCTATTGGTAAATAATAAAAAGTTTTCATTCCTAAAGTACCTCCTTTTTCAAAAACTTTAAAAAAATTTTTAAAAAGGATTGAGTGCAAAATATATTGGTCTGTATTTCGAAAAATAATAAAAAAAACTTTTTTTAGAAAACTATTATTGGCATGAATTTAAAAAATTTGTAGAAATGATTTTTGTATACCTTTAGCAGTGTCTGAGACATACCCCTTTTTGTAACTGTTTACTTGGGTTACCTATTTGTTGCGAACGCGTAGACAAAATGACACATTTTTTAATGAACTAATCTTTAATTAATAATTGGAAACAATTACCAAATATAATCATAATACAGGGTAAGATCGCCGGAAGGAAAGGCCCAGGCCGACGAAGAACATCCTGGCTCCGAAATCTCCGAGAATGGTATCAAGAAACCACCGCTAATTTATTTAGAGCCGCCGTAAATAAAGTTTTTATTGCCAATATAATCACGACGTTCGATAATCAGACAGGGTACTGAAAGAAGAAGAAGACCAAACATAACATTCACTAAGACATAAAATCTTCAAAAAAACATCAATTTTAAAACACCAATATTACTTTTGGATTTATATTCTAGAATGTTTATATAATATTTATATTTAAAATTTTATATTACTTGTAAGGGTAAAAATTTGCGTTGTGTTAAAAGATAGCAATTTTTCTATTTTATTTTTAAGTGCACTTTTCAAAATTCAATAAATAATATATGTGTTGAAAATAGATAAAAACCAATCAAAATGTTATGGTAAGTACTAGAAAATGTGCTTTTCCTCAATCATTCTTTATTTTTTTTGGAACGGTAATATTTTTTAACTAAAATCATAATTAAAGTTTTATTAAAATACATTACATTTTTTTTCGAATTAATTTTTTGAAATGAAAATTTGGGAGCATATTAAAGAAGACTCGACTCATACTAATCACGTATATAAAATACATTAGGTAGAAACGTAAAAATGTACACCATAAACAGTAGGTACACCATAAACATTTAATACAAATAGACTGTCTGTTGCAATACAAGTCCGTTCCCCTAGTGCGACAGAGAAAACTGACGCAAAGCAGTCTCTACATATCTTTCTAATTTGCTAGGTTTATCGAACACGTAACCTAAATGAAAAATGAGAAGGTCACGTGATAGATAAACCCATCCCATTATATGTCTATGGACCTAACCTAACCTAACCTAAATATAGATACATAGTGCAGACTAAACAGGAATGGAAAAAGAAAACAATCTTTTCTGTCTAATCCGTATCCCGCATATCTTACGACGATGTTTGTTTATTAGGACTGTTGCTCTTTGCAATTGTGTTGGTAAACAGAATATTTATCTCAGATCGATTTAAAATACAATTTACTTTACATATAGGATATAATTTATATACTGATCTAATTGTCTTTTAATGTTTTAGGACTACAGAGCAGCTGTGGTGGAGTATCAGCCAGTAGAATTAGCTGATGCAAATATTACTATGGAAAGCAACATTAAGGAATATCGTTCATTTGTAGAACAAGCAAAGGTAATATAAACAAACGTTTAGTCATGCAATTACTATATTCCAATACAAGTTTTTAATAGTTTTAAATCGACTGATCACCTAAAGCAATTTGCGTGTAATTTTCTCATTCGGAATCGACATTAAAACTATACACACACGCATACATAATATAGTGTGCGTACTCACCATTCTCTCTCCGATTGCCGACAAGAATGTAGAGCGTGGAATAATTTTTAATAATTTTAAACTGTTTGTCCTTGTGTTAATGTAGTGTTATGTACAATTTATGTCCAATCTCATGTTTATTACATTCTGCGCTTGCTGGATAGCCCAAATTTGACGAAATGCCAATGATGATGCTGTAGAAAGCGAAAGTACTTGGGCAAGATTTGATTATTAAATTTGTGCTCGATATGTGCCTTAATTTTTCAAAGTTCATTTATTCGATCATTCAACCTCATAGCAATTAAATATAAAATACTGAAAAGTACAAATCTCTCTGTGAATTTTTTATATTAAATGTAAAATATACAACTTAGTGGCTAGTCATAATATGAATACAGAGTGAAATGTTATTATTTATGACAATATTTAATAAACACATTATCTACAATTTTTTAAATCTTAATATTTCATCAATGGTTTTACATACGATTCCGGTAATAACTATTCTATCCAGACAAACTCAAATTATGTCGAATATGATTAAAAAATATCAATCATAAAATCTCTGCATTAAATCCTCCATTATATATTAAGAGCAAAATTGCAAATGGTGCACGGTGTGATCATAAACCATCAGAGAGATATTGCTGAATCAATTATTATGCCGGGTCCAGACCAAGCAGACAAAACGAAAACACAATTCTGAAACAAAAACACGATAAACCGGCGACAAAATTTGTCCTCAAAAGACAAAACAAAATTGAGACAAACTGTCCACACCAGAACAATAAAATATAAAAACAAATTCAGTTGGTGACGTTGTTGTTGTGATTAGTGTTGGTTAACCATGTGGCGTTTTAATCAAGAAAAAAAATGAAACTGAAGATTTATTGCTAGCCGCAAGTTTTTTTTTGCTCTCATCATCATCCCAGGTTGCGGATTAGACCAAGCCTAAAAATGCGAGAAAGTTGTTCGATAGACAAATTGTTACTTCAGCTGCGAGCAAATGATATTGGACTAAGTGGTGAAATTCAATCAAGCTTCAAAAGTTTTTTAAGAATGTCCACCGAAGATTTTGAGAATCTAATATGCCTTGTTGGTCCTACAGTTGCAAAAAGACATACTAACTTTAGAAATGCTATGAGTGTAACAGAAAGGTTAGCAATCAATATCTGTAATAATACCTGAAGTATGTAAAGCTTTAATTAACAGTCTTAGTGGTTATGTACAGGTATGTTAATATTTTTTCATTACTATTTTTCTGTTAATATCCATTAAAATAAACTCCATATTTATTGGTTAAATGTTTAATACAAAAGAAGTTGACGATAGGTACATACTACATGCAAAATAATGACGAGTCTACTTGTTTTTACATTCAAAAAGTTCATCATCAATTTCGTTCGTTTTCTTGATCTGAATACTAAGAAAGCTCTGTGTCAATACTAGGTGGATGTGAAAATAAAGGTTGTGTGTTGGTGTTTGGTGGATTTAAGTAATAATTTTGTGGGTCAACACTGGGTGGATTTGAGTATGCTTGTTGCGTGTTGGGTGGATTTGAATATAAATGTTCAATGCTGGGTGGATTTGAGTATAAATGTGTGTCAATGCTGGGAGGAGTTGAGTATGAACGTGTGTCAATGCTGGGAGGATTTGAGTATGAATGTTGTGTGTCAGTGCTGGGTGGATTTGAGGACAAATGTTTTGGGTTGGAATTGGATGGAGTTGAGTGAACATTTGTGTTGAGACTGAGTAACAGAAAAATACACTTAATTTTGATAAAAATTGTACATTCTATTTCTCCTACTGCTTAACTCGTTTTGGCACGCACACGCGTCCACACTGCGCCGACAACTTGTCGTCAAATACACAGACAAAACACAGACTTTTTGATCTTTACCGACCTGAGACGGGACCTGAAAAAGTTTTCAAATTTGCAAACAAAACAAAATTGTTCAGAAATGTCTCAACAAATGTTTTCGATTTGTCGCCACTTTGTCGCGAAACATGAATGTTTTTGTTTTGTCTGTTTCGTCTGAACCCGGCATTAGCATACTGTGATTTTGTTACTTTGAAGTAGGATTTTTACATTAATATTATGTCAGACTAATTTAAATTTAAATGATATGTTACAACAATTAAATGCAATTTCAAGAGCGGTAGGCTTAAAAATGAACGACAGCACAACAAAAATATTGAGCCGAGACCAGATAAATATAACAATACATAATCATACCATAGAAAATGTTGAGCACTATGTATATCTAGGTCATGTCATCAAACTAGGAAAACCAAATCAAGATGCTGAAATTAAAAGAAGAACACAACTGGCATGGGGCACTTTCGGCACACTAGCATATGTCTTGAAAAACACCCCTATTCCTGTAAACTTAAAGAAAAAGGTGTATAAAACATGCATACTACCAGTTTGTACCTACGGCTTGGAGACAGTAGCACTCAAAAAAATCTGCTAAAAAATTAGAAACAACGCAAAGAGCAATGACACGAATCATGCTTGAAATATCACTGAGAGACAAGATTATAAACACCGAGATCAGACATAGAACGAAGATTAGGGATATTGTGGAAAAAATTACAAAAATGAAATGGCGCTGGGCAGGTCATATAGTCCGACAAAATGACAACAGGTTGATACGGAGATTTCTAGAATGGAGAGCAAAGACGACAGCAAGAAGCATGGGAAGACCTCAAAAAAGATGGGTAGATGACATAAGAGCAATGGCAAGCAAACAGTGGATTAGATTGGCGCAAGATAGAGAAAGATGGAAGCAATTGGGAGAGACTTTCATTCTGGAGTGGATGGAAAATGGTTGACAAAGTGAATTTAAATTTAACACTAAATTATGTCTTCACACTTTGTATTCACATCCAAATTCAAAGGGTAGAAGGCTATGCACTTGTTTGATGCCCACTGCTCCACTATTTCTATTTCCAATTGTTCAATATTATTCAGACAATTCAATTTGTAATTATTTTATTCAAAAATGTACATGGCTGTTTTAGAAAAATGGAGTTCTGATAATAGTCTTTCCCGAGTATGGATTAACAGGTTATAATCCTAACGTGACGGCATATGCACTTGAAATTCCTGATGTAGGAATTAAACCCAATCATACTAACGGTTTGGTAAGTATAATAATATCCATATGATATTTACATTTTTTAATTCTATCGATAAATTAAAATATTTTCATAATTTGCTATGTACAAAGTTTACTGTAATTAGTAATTAAATATTTTTGTCATAATTAATGTTCAAAATTCTATCGAAATGAGTTGTTAGTTTGAGCTAGATTTTGACTAAAGTTCTCTGTAATTATTCATCATCATCATCAACTAGCCTATATTTGTCCACTGAACGTAGGCCTCCCGTAAAATAATCATTCTTCTCTTCTTCTGGTTCCTATCCGTTTCGGATGTTGGAAATCATATTGGCAATCATAACCTTGCTCGCTGCGGCTCGAAACAGCTCCGTTGAGGTTTTCTTAAACCATGTTCTTAAATTCCGCAGCCATGATATTCTCCTTCTACCGGGTCCTCGCATACTTTTGACTTTATCTTGCAATATAGACTGTAGCAGGGAGTAACGGTGCTCATTTCTCATAACGTGTCCCAGATATTGCAATTTTACGCGTTTGATTGTAAACAAAATCTCTGGTTCCTTCTTCATTTTTACTAGAACTTCCTTGTTCGTGATCCTTGCTGTCCATGATATTCTTAGTATTCTTCTATAAAGCCACATCTCAAATGCTTTAAGTTTTTTTAATAGTGGTGTCTGTAAGCGTCCATGCCTTCCCCCCGTACAACAACACAGAGAAAACATAGCATCCCAAATGTCTCATTTTTGTATCAAGGGATATGTTGTAACTTTTGAAGATGGCGCTCATTTTGGTAAAGACCGTTCTTGCCTTTCCCATGCGGCACTTTATTTTCTGTAAATTGCTCCACTGTTCGTTAATAATAGTTCCCAGGTAACAATACTGTTTTACTCGCTCTATCTGCGTCCCATTAATGTATAGATGAGTCCCGTTTAGATTCTCCTTGCTGATAATCATTTGTTTCGTTTTGTGGGTATTAATGTTTAGTCCGTACTATTGACTGTACTCGTTTATTCTGTCCATTAGCCTCTGAAGTCCCTCTAAACTATCTGCTATCACCATGGTGTCGTCGGCATATCTAACATTGTTTACTCTTTCACCATTTAGAAGGATGACTTCGTCTATTCCGTAAAGAGCCTCGTTAAAAATTTTCTCTGAGTACGTATTAAATATCAACGACGATAGGATACATCCCTGTCTAACTCCACGTAGTATTTTTATGTGATCTATTTCTTCTCCGTTAATTTTCATGTATGCGGTCTGATTCCAGTAGAGTTCTGAAATTATTCTGAGATCTTTGTCATCTAGGTCTGCCTCTTTTAAAATGTTTATCATCTTTTGATCTTGAACTCTGTCAAATGCCTTTTCATAGTCGATCAAGCACGCGTATACGTCGCAGTTAACGTCCCTGCATCTTTGAATCAGTACCTGTACTCCAAAAAGTGCCGCTCTGGTACCCACTGCGTTAATGAAGCCGAACTGTCTGTCCGATATTTGTTCCTCGCACTTCTTATAAATTCTTCCATGGATGACTCTAAGAAACAGTTTCAACATGTGGCTCATTAGCCTGATCGTTCGATATTCTTCGCAGTTTTTAGCCCCCTGTTTTTCAGGTATCGCTATGAATTCTGATTCTAGTCATTTATCAGGGATGATTCCTGTATTGTATATTTTATTGAAGATAGCCGTGATCCAAATTATTCCTTCTTCCTCCAAGAGTTTTAAAAAGTCAGCTTCGATATTATCAGGCCCTACAGCTTTCCTGCTTTTCATCCGTTTTATTGCTTCTTCTACCTTGGATTTAAGTATGTCCGGGCCCGTCATCCTCTCTGAAAATGGATGCCTATAATCCGTTCTTTGATCTTGAAAAAGTGTCTCCAAATATATTCTTCAAAATAATCCATCTATTTTTATCTAGAGCTTCTTGCATTCAATATTTGGTGATTCGCATTATATCATCCGTACATCTAGTCGGTGGTCGTCGTCTGTTTCGATATGTCTCTTGTCTTGGTCACCATTCCAGAATATTTCTGGTCTATACTCTTCTTCTTTACGTGCCATATCTGCGACGAAGGTTGGCAATCATCACTGCTATTCTAACTTTTGACACTACATCCCGAAAGAGCAACTGAACTCTTTCCTGCATCCAAACCATTCTTTGAGGTTTCTCAGTCAGGACATTCTTCTTCTACTTATGCTGCGCTTTCCTTGAATCTTTCCCTACATTATTAGTTTTGGGAATTCATATCTGTCACCACGTGTTATATGACCTAGATATTGTAGTTTTTTTATTTTGATGGAATCCAGTATCTCCCTGCTGTTCTCTATTCTTAGTACTTCTTCATTGGTTATTCTGTATGTCTAGGAGATTCTCAGCATCCCTCAATATGTCCACATTTCAAATGCTTCCAATTTATTGTGACATTGTTTATTTAAAGTCCATGTCTCCATACCGTACAAAACAACAGAAAATACATAACACTTTAGTACTCGTTTTCTAAGATTTAGGCTGAGGTCTCTACAACATAATATTTGTTTCATATTATTGAATGCACTTCTAGAAAATACATAACACTTTAGTACTCGTTTTCTAAGATTTAGGCTGAGGTCTCTACAACATAATATTTGTTTCATATTATTGAATGCACTTCTAGCCTTTTCTATTCTAACTCTAATTTCTTTGGTATAATCGTTTGTTTCATTAATCTTTGCCCCTAAATAGTTATAATTCTGAACTCGTTATATTGTCTTATTATTTAAGTATAGATTGGTATATATAATATTTTTCTTTGATATAACCCTGAATTTTGTTTTCTTTATGTTTAGTGACAGATCAAATTCTTTACTCTCTGCAACAACCTTATATAAAATTCTTTGTAGATCTGTAATATTTTCTGCTATTAGTATCGTATCATCAGAATATCTAATTTCACGTATGGGTAGGCCATTTATTTTTATACCTGCTACTTAATCCTCTAATGCTTTTTTGAATATTTCCTCTGAGTATGCATTAAACAGCGACGGTGACAAGACAGCGCTCTGTCTAACACCTCTTTTGATTTTTATTTTATTAGTTTTTAAATTATTTATTTTTATGACAGCTTCTTGTTCATAATATAGATTATTTATTGTTCGTATATCCCGTTTATTGATGTTCTTTGTTCTCATTAGTTTTATTAAACTTAAAAAGACTTAAAAAAAACTTAAAAAGAAAAATTAAAAACGAACACTGGGAACGCTTCTCAAAAGAAATGGAACACGACTTTTACGGTCTACAAAAGGAAATATGGCGTTTCATAAGAGGCCAAAGATCAGAGATGAAAGACTTAATCGAACCGAAACACATAGATAACGACACATGGATTGAATACCTAAAGAAGCTTTATAATGATAAACAGCAAATGATGTTAGAACCAGAAACACCAGAAATCATTACAAACGAGGAAGTCGAGATAACCGTACAAGAAGTAAAACAAACTTTAGAAAAACTAAAGAACAGAAAAGCTGCAGGTAAAGATGGAATTCCAAATGAATTATTGAAATATGGTGGAGAAGCATTAACAGAACAGCTAACAACACTAATTAACAAAATCATCAAACATAATAAAATACCTGAAGAGTGGAAGAAAAGCGAGCTTATCCTACTATACAAAAAAGGAGATAAAAAACAACCTGAAAACTACAGAGGTATCAACTTATTAAACACCACTTTGAAGCTTACAACCAAAATATTGCAAGGCCAAATAAATCAGAGAATTACCTTAGCGGATGAACAGCAGGGTTTTCGCACAGGAAGATCGTGCACAGATGCAGTATTCATCATAAAACAGATTACCGAGAAAGCACTAGAGTATAACAGACCAGCATTCATATGTCTAATAGACCTGAAGAAAGCGTTCGATAAAGTAAAGCTTAAAGATGTAATTCACCTTCTTTACGATAGAGAAATTCCACTAAATGGTATAAAAACAATAGAGAATATTTACCAGAACAACAATATGGAAGTCAGAATAGATGACCAGTTTACAGATCCAATAGATATGGGTAATGGAATAAGACAAGGAGACTCGCTTAGTCCAACGCTATTCAATCTAATTATGGATGAAATCATCAATACTATTAATAAAGGAAGAGGATACAAAATGGGGAACAAAGAAATCAGAATACTCTGCTATACAGATGATGCGGCCCTAATTACATCCAATGAAGACGATCTACAAAGACTAACCCATAGATTCAACACAAGGGCAAAGGACTTTAATATGGTGATCTCTACACAGAAAACTAAAACAATTGTAATCAGTAAAGAACCAATTAGATGTAAACTGGAAATCGACGGTATCAGCATTGAGCAAGTAATGGAGACAAATTACCTAGGAATTACACTGTCTAGCTACGGAGATGTGGAGAAGGAAGTGAAAAATCAAGTACAAAAGGCTAATAAAATAGCAGGTTGTCTTAATAACACGATATGGCGCAATCCCCACATTAATACGTGAAATCAAGAATCTACAAAGCAACAATAAGACCAATAATGACATACACTTCAGAGACAAGACCGGATACCTCCAAAACTCAGCAACTACTAGAAACAGCGGAGATGCGTTTACTGAGGAGAATTACAGGAAACACACTGAGGGATCGAATGAGGAGTGAAGAGATCAGAAGAAAATGCAATATACCAGAAATAAATGAGTGGACACTGAACAGAAAAAAGGAATGGAACGAACACATAAACAGAATGGAAGAGACCCGATTAGTCAGAATAGCGAGGGACAAATCACCAAAAGGTAGAAGAAGTATCGGGCGACCACGCAAAAGATGGAGTGATAACCTCCAATAGAGGCATTAATCGACATTGAACAAGCATTTTGCTTATAAAAAAGAAGAAGAGAAGAAGAAGTTTTATTAACGGATCATGTTTCACTGTGTCAAATGCCTTATTATAATCTAGGAAGCAGACATAGATGTCCTGGTTTACATCTAAACATCTCTGTATTAGCACATATACTGCATATAATGCTTCTCTGGTTTCTTGAGCATTTCTAAAGCCAAACTGAGTTTGTCCAATGTCTTGTTATAACTTTTTATATATTCTACGATGAATAATCTTTTGGAATACTTTTAGTATGTAGTACATTATACTGATGGTATGGTCATCGCAACATTATCTGGCGTTTTTCTTTTTCGGTATAGTCACGAATGTTAATAGAAAACAATCTTTAGGTAATATACCTGTTCTGGTTTATCTATCATCAGTCAATCTCGCAACGTGTCTGGTCGAAGCCCATTTAGCCATGACTATTTTTTCAACTGCATCCGTGACTCCTGTTTTTCTTCTTATTTCTAGGTTTGGTACTTTATCTTTGGTTACTGTGTAACTGTTATTTTATTTACTGTTTCTTTTGTCAGAATGAGTGTTTTTGCACCATATATAAGAACCGGTAAAACACATTGATTAAAAACCTTTCTTTTCAAACAAAATGAAATATTAGACTTGAAAATATTGTTCAATCTACCAAAGGCAGTCCATGTGAGACCTATCCTTCTTTGTAATTCAGTCGTCTGATTATCTCGGCCGAAGCGAATCTCATGCCCTAGATTTTTTTTGAAACTTTTACTTCGATACTATGCATGTCTTTCAATCTGAATTTTATCGCTGACTACAAGGTTGATCATACTTGTTTTTGATGCTTTATAGAGCTTTTCCATCTTTTTTGTAGCTTTATCAATTCTATCAGTTATAAATATATATATGGCTGTAAACAATTTCGGGGAGATAGTATCACCCTATCTAATTCCATGTTCTATTCGGAACTTTTGATATATTCACAAAGTCGGACACAAGCTGTACCAATTTCGTAGATATTCTTAATCAAGGCAATATATCGGTAGTCAATGCGACAGTCAGCCAATGCTCGAAGCATTTTATGACGATCTATAGTATCAAACGCCTTTTCATAGTCTACGAATATAAGAAAGATAGGTTTGTTGTACTCTGTGCACTTTTCTATTAGCGTTTTAATAACTTGTAGATGTTCATTTGTTCCGTATCTGGAGCGGAATTCAGCCTGTTCAAAAAGTTGGTAACCATTCAATTTGTTCACAAGCCATTTTGTTATTATCTTCATGAATTGATTGTATACGTGAGAGAGTAAACTAATATCTGTAGTTCTGAAATGTCACCTTTTTTATGCATTAAGTTTAATATTATATTATGCCATTAAGAGAGGATTACAGCTCTTGTCAAACAAACATAGAACACCTTTTTCAAAATATTTATTAATTCTCCTCCTTCTTCTCCTTTTATGATTTGTTCTATGACTATCACATCTTCTATAGTTGTTTTAGTGTTTTTCATCTCCGAGAGAGCTCTTTTTATTTTCTCTGTTATGATATCTAGGATGACTTCTGAGCCCACATTTTTGGTATTTCAACACTTTTGGTATTTAACTTTGATTAGGAAATTCTTCACGTTTACACAATTCTGAGTAAAAATATTGAGTAATTTTTAAAATTACTTTATTCTTTGGTTTATAATTTCTCCCTTTTTATTTACAAGTTTGCAAATATTTTTAGATTCTCGGTTCAAACTTTTATTTTTATCAATGGTTGAAGCCATGTGTTCATTGTTGTAATTTCTGACATCTTTTTGAATTGATTTTGAGATATTTTTGTTTAACTTTCTAAATACTACAAAATTATCTGTGTATTTGTCTTTACATCAAGATTTTTAGTAGCTTGGGCGAGTTTATCCTCCTTGTTTTTTCCTTTTTCCTTATATTTTGAATAAGTGTTTCCAATCGCAGTATTTAATCATGTTTGTGAGCTCTGTATCTTTCATTTTCATTTCTACTTTTTAGGTTCTGAAGTTTTGAGATTATGATAAGCTACTCTATCTTTTATCGATTTCGATTTATTAGAATGCCCCTCCGTTATCATTGCCCTTCTCTCTCTTCTAATGTCGATCAATATCTTTGTTGTAACCAACCGATTGTCACTCCCAACAATGTATTTATTAATTACTGGACATCTTGGACACCATTTTTTTGTTTGTGATTCTTCTACTTAGGGTGCCTGTCCATTACGCTGGCGATCATTCTAGCTATGATGCTATGTTGGTTGCTATACGGAATAGCTGTGTTACGGTCTTCCTATACGATGGTGTCAGGTTAGCAAGCCAGGATATTCTTCTTCGTCTTGGAGCCTTTTTCCTTCAATTTTACCTTGCAAAATGCATTGGAGTAGGTCGTATCTGCTTTGATTTCTTATTGTATGTCCCAAGTACTGCAGCTTACGGCCTTCACGATGTTGACCAAATCCGCGGTTGTGTTCATCCTCCGCAGTACTTCTTCATTGGTGACTTTGTCTATTCATGGTATTTTCAGGATCCTTTCAGTTTGTGATTATGAAATCAATTTCGTTTTTTGTTACGCCATCTGTACTAGCTCATGTTCACTTACATTGTTGATTCTTTTTGAAAAATATGTCGACATAGAGCCGATGATGCAACCAAAAATTTAGTAATTAATGGTTAATACATATTCCGCTCTTATTATTATTGTATTGACATCAGGTATGCGCTGCAGTTTCTTGTCTCTAAACCATGAAAGTTGCTTCTTTCGCTCAGGTCCTTTTCCATCTTCAACTTTACCTATCAAAATGACACTTAGAAGATTATATTTGTTATTTCGTAAAATACGGTTCAAGTATAAAACCTTTCGCTGCTTAACGTGATATAAAAATTTTCTTTGATCTTTAGCTCTTCTTAGGATCTTATCATTTGTTAAATAATTCACCCATGGAATTCTAAGCAGTCTTCCGAGACACCACATTTCGAAAGCCTTCACACGATTCAGGGATATTACTTTAAGCAACCAGGTCTCACTTCCTTACATCACAATGGGTCATATGTAGCATTTCAAAACCCGTTTTCTAAGAGCGAAAGGAAATTCACAGCGATGGAGGTATTTATCAAAAACGAAGACGTTTCTAGTCATTGCTTCTCCAATCTTCATTTTTAGTTTACAGTTTCGTTTGCTGTTTAATGTAGCTCTAAGGTATATAAATCGTTCATTCGTTCAATAGCTTCATTATTTATATTCAACTGAGCTTCCATAGGGGGTTGTCTGCTGATTACCATATATTTAGTTTTTGCTGTGTTGATGTTAAGTCCGGACTCCTTTTTCACTTCATTTATGATATTCGCTAAATCTTGTAGCTCCTCTATATTCTGGCCGTATCATCAGCATATCTCATAGCAGATTATTAATAGGCAGACCATTAATTTTGATGCGTTTTTCATTCTATCGCGCAAGCTGAAATATCTTTTCTACAAAATGGTAAACAATAGTAGGGAGAGAATACAATCCTGTCTTACGACTTTTCTTATCTCCATTTCTTCTGTGTATATATAGGCCGCTGACGATCCTTAGTTATATTTATTAATTGCAATATATTATTGTTAAATCACTTGTTGTTAAATCAATCTTATGTCTTTATAATTGAGCCCAATTTCTCAATATCAAAGGCGTTTGGTAATCAATGAAGCAATGAAGAAAACATCTTTTCTTTGATCGTAGCATTTTTACACCAGCAACTTGCCGTGAATCTCTTGTTCTCAAGTCATGTTTGAAACCAAATTGAACATATCCCATTCTTTTTTTTTTTTAATTTATTATAAATTTACTTATGTATTGTTTTTAAGAATGCCTTTAATGCGTGGCTAATTAAGCTAATTAAGGTTTTCTTCGCAGCAACACTGACAGTATGTTTCTTTGATATTGCTACAACGGTTGATTATATTGTATATATGTACATAAATTTTGATCCCTCTACGTAGTACTGGAATTTAAATTTTAACAAAATTTATTTTAGATTTTAGAAAAACTTACCGACTTGGCACAAAGCTTCGAAATGTATGTTGTATTAAATTTGTTAGAAAAGAAAACCAATACCAATAATAAAACTTTTTACTACAGTACAAACTTAGCATTTAATCCCAAAGGAGAGATTGTTGCAAAGTGAGTATATATTCATTTTCCGTTTTGATAATCATCGTTATCATGGTAACCTTAGATTTACGTTTAAGATTTGGCTTTATTCTATACATTTATATAAAAAAGTATTTTATTTTAAAATATGTGGAAACAGAACAAAAAATGAAAATTGAAATATAATACATTTTATTTCAGCTCTCCTATTCTTCCTAAAAACCTCGAACACACCTTTAGTTTTAATTTATTCAAATACATATGCTTAGCCTTATAATTCATTTTTGAATTTTGTCGCATTAATAGTAGTGGCATTCAAATAACCGTTATACTTTCGCGATTTGTTGACAGGAATTGTCATGTATGAAGTAGATACGAACTAGTAATATTACGGTAGGTACTCCATTAAGACGATTACAATACGGTCAAGTACAAGCGTTAGACAGGGTCAAAAGGCAACACTTCTGGCAGATACTTAAAGAAGTGGGCGTACCAAAACACTTAATTTTGCTTAAAGATGAACTATACGAACACACTACTGGAAGAGTTAAAGTGCTTGACACAATTATTTAATATATGGGGAGCAGATTATAAGAAAAGCACTTAAAGGATAGGAAAAGTACATCTCAAAAAATGACAACGAAAAATACACAACCTACGTTGTACAGATGATACAGACTTTTTGGCTAACAATTAAAAAGAGTTAATTGATCTCGTACAACTGGTTGAAAGCGAAAGTTAAATATTTAGTTTGCAGTCTGCAGTGAAACATATCAAAGACAAAGATAATAAGGGTGGATAGACTACTAATCATATATTCATCATCCACACATAACCAAGATTAACCGGTTTAAGGTTTTGATCTCATACTTATATCCATAGACATATAATACAAATATACTGACTGCTAGAGATAGTGCAAGCACTCCTGACCACGGCCCAGTAGACGAAATTTGGTTTAGTCCCCACTTCCATGCAAAATGCATTGCACTGTGCACTGTATAATTCTACTTACAATAGAACCTTTCTATCTTTACGTGAATTTTGACTCCGCCTTCGCGCAGCTCCATGATCAGGAGTGTGCTGCACTATCTCTACCATTCAGTCGCGTTCCCCCAGTGCGACAGAGATAACTGACGCAAAGCAGTCCCTGCATCTTCTTCTAATGGACCCAATGGACCTTCTAATCTTCCCATTGGTCATTTAGGTCACGTGGTCAAAAAATTATTCGTCGCCATTAGAAAGAGATGCAGGGACTGCTTTACGTCAGTTTTCTCTGGCGCACTGGGGGAACAACGCTGTATTGCAACGCTCAGTCTATTTGTATTATATGTTTATGCTTATATCGAGGATCATTGATCACAAACACAGGGACACTACAGGAAGAAATAAAACGTAGATGTGATCTTGTAATAGTTGCCGTAAGAAAGATCGCCAAAATATGGGAGAAAGTTCACGAACTCTAAAAATGAGGTTGATTAACTGCTTAATATTCCTAATACTGACATACGAATGTAAATCTTGGAACGACAAGCAGAAAGAAGAAGGATAGACGCTACTGAAATGTTCTGTTGATGAAGATGATTACGAATTCCATCGAGCGATCACATTTTATCTGCATTATGAGTCTGAAAATTTCATATTTTGGTCCCTTCATCACGCGGCCTTGGTATTCCAGTATTCCAGTTTTCTGGTTTGTATAGTCGTGATTAGCTCTGTTTCTTTACCGACCCCTTTAGTACTCTTTTATTTGTAATTATATTAGTCCATGATATTTTTAATACTCTGTGGTATAACCAGATTTTGAAAGCCTTGATTCTTTTTAAAATCGAATGGTACGTAGCCTGATTTCCAAATTAACATTTCTCTAGGTTAAAAGTGGCTTCATTCGTATAAATGCTGATCTGGTGCTATTCGCCTATTTATTTCTGCAGTATGATCATTAGTTTCATTGATTAAAGTTCCTGAGTACTGATATTTTTCTACTTGTACTATCACGTTACCATTAATTGTCAATATGTGGTGTATATTTTGTGGTCTTTGTCTTTTTGTAAGTAGCTTATATTTCGTCTTTTTAGCGTTTATAATAATTCACATCTTAGCACTATTCATACTTAAGCTATGATTTCGAAATTGTAAATCTTATTAAATTCTATCTTATTAAAGTTGTTAATTAATTTTCTGTTAACGGTAATTTCCGCTTTGATATTATTGACCATGTTTTTAAATTTTTTTTCAGAATATAAGTTAAACAAAAGTGGCGATAAAACGCATCCTTGTATAACTCCTCAACAGATATTTCTGGTTCTTCGATACTCGGTTATATTGGTTGACTTTTATTAATCACTTAATCAAATAGTAATAACTTATGTCCAATAAATGGTCTATTCAGGCCTTCTATCAGGATGTTTAGGTTTAAAACCTCTATATATTTGTACAGTTAGTTTAACGTTTGTCTTGCATAAAAGCTTCCACAAAAACCACTTAAAAATAAATTCTTATTGTAATATTTACTACAATTGACAAGCTATTAATACAATTTATAATTTGATTATACATACACTGACATTTAATACGTTCTTTGTTCATTTCGATGTTATTTTATTTTATTTTAATTTAATTTTTAGATCACGAAAAACACATCTTTTTGACGAATCAAATTTGACAGCTGGAAAGCCTTCCGAAAATACTAATACTTTTGAAACTGTATTCGGTGTTACATTTCAATTATTTTCCACCTACGATCTGATTTGGGAAAACCCCAAGTCCAACGTTAGGGATATCGTTTATCCATCATCTTGGATCTCGACTTTACCGTTCTATCACTGTAAGTAGATTTATAAATTATAAAAATAGATAAATATTTTTATATTACACACTATAACCCTTAACTTCTTCTTCTTCTTCCTTTATTGGGTAATATCTCAGGGGATAATTTGCCCAGCTAACACTAAATTGAAATTATTTTATATTGAATGAACACTATGTCGAAACTTCTTCTTCTTGGGCCAAACAATTAGTATAGGAAAGTCTATTCAACACAGGATAAAACTTTTCTCGCTTGGGGGAACAACCAATCTTTTTCTGCATAGTCTTTTTGATGAGGTCCTCAGAGTTCCACAGCAAACTCTTCTGCAGCTATCTACTTAATTCAATAGCTACTTTACTGTGGACTGTCCAAGTTCCTCTTTTTTTTTCTACCAACGGATGATAGAGAACCCAGGTGTAAAAAAAGAGAATAATTTGTAAGTTTGTGTTATAGTAGATAAGATAGGAATATATAATTATAGATTGATTTTGGCTAGATTAAGAAAAGTAATCAATAAATTTAGTCTTTGTGGATTAAGATTGGATAGGAAAGAGCATATCTCTATAGAAGTTTGTAGTTTTGTTTTAACCAATTCTTTGTAGAGGTCAAATTTGGAGAAACGTTTATTGGACACTCTAGGATAATATGATTCAGAGATCCAATTTGACCACATTCACAGTACGGGTTGTCCTGAATACATATGCGGAATAAATGAACGAGAGTGGAACAATGTCCTGTTCTCATTCTAATTACTGTGGTGATATGCCTTCTGTCTTTATAAGGAAATTGATTGAACCAACATATTTTTCTATAAAACGACCCTTTGGATCTATTTGAATTCCATTCTTGTGCCCATAGAGTCCAAATTAGCTTTTTAATATAAAATAAGTAGTTTGAATAATGCAATTTAACTTTGGCTGGCATTTTTAGTGATCTTCCTATGTTTGCCAATTTGTCTGCAACACAATTGCCCTTAATATCAGAATGCCCTGGAATCCAAGCCAAAATAATACTGATGTTCTGTTGATTGGCTTCTATAATGCCCCTTTTGGTCATGATAGAGGTATGTTCAGTTTCCATTGAGTAAGATGTTTTCCCTATCTTTTGGATAGCACTCTTAGAATCAGAAATAAAAAAAAGTCAGAAATAAAAAAAAAAACAGAAATAAAAAAATAAAATAAAAAACCCTTAACTTATCTAAAAATCTGAAAATTGATATGTTTGCTGTTTGGGCATCATAAAAATATTATATAACAACAACAAAAATATGACATCTATAAGTCATCAATTTGGATTGTATACTAAAGTATACATTGCTAAATAGATCGAAAAATAGGTTTGTATAGCATATCATACATTCTCAAATTATGAAGGACAAGTAATATGAATAAGAACTATCAAATTTATTCAAAAATATTTATTTATTAATGTGAAAATCCATTAAACAATTCCTGTAATGCACTAAACATAGTCTAATATTAAACTTGTTACAAAATATGACAGTTTGTATCTTCTTGCAATTTCTGCACCTGTCCATTGCACCGCATACTGGAAAATGATATACATAGATGATCTAATCTGATATCATCTTGGGGTTTAGGTTTTATCGGGTTTTTAATTTTTTTTTGGAAGGTAGTGATAGTTGCTCATTGCTGGTATGTCCTTTTTTTATTTTGTCAGAATTGTTTCAAAGGAATGACTGTTTTTTTACATTTTTGTAGAATGCTTGCATAACGTTTATGTAGTAGCCAAGTATTATTAATGGATCTGTAATTTGAGAAAAATTCCCATATACCATCTAGGTGTCTTAAAGCATATTTTATATAGAGGTTTCAACATGCCTGCCAAATTCACACCACCCATATGACTGTCATATTTTTTAATAAATGTGGGCATGCAATGTGGATTTTCTTGTTTTCCATTTTGGAGAATCTTTGTATGGTTGCTATTAGAATAGAGGCTACATAAGAAAGTTACGGATTTGTTATCGTACCATTTTACAACGACAATGCTGCTATCATTGTCTATTCTTTGGTCAAAAGACCCTCTCCCATCTTTTTTCATTTTCTTATCAGATCCAAGTGGGCAACCCGGTAGGCATCTAAACATTCCGTATATGTATTCGGCACCTAGGACTTTTCTATTGGTTCTTTGCGGCACGCGGGAATGTTTCAACCAATAGGCGGCGAGGTGCCAGACACGTATACGGAATGTTACTCTGGTGCCAAATTCATATACGGAATGTTAAAAATATTCATAAACCAAAATAGACAACTTTTTATTAAAATGAGTTAAAAGGAAACTGATTCTAAAATATTTGTTAATGTGTGATTAAGGAAAATTAAAAGAATGCAATAAGAAATAAAACAAAATATATTTAAATAAATTAAAAAAAAAAATTAAATGTTTAAAATGTAATATTTATGCGTAATTCAACGCCCTTCGCCATGTGTTTGATTTGCCTGCGAAATGCATATACGGAATGTTAAAAATATTCATAAACTAAAATAGACGACTTTTTATTAAAATGAGTTAAAACGAGACTGATTATAAAATATTTGTAATGTAATATTTTTGCGTCATTTAACGCCCTTCGCCATGTTTAGTTGCATTTGTTTGATTTGCTGCGATATTGGACGAAAGATTGGGAAAGATTGGAAAGATTTAGGTGGTCTTCCAAATGGTAATCTTTTTGACCCTCTAGTAACTCCCAACTTTCTTCGACTGATTGAAGTAGGTTGCACTCTTATATTGGCCTTGTGTCCAAATCGCCTTGCCGAGGAACTTCCTGCCGTGTTTAAAAAACTTTCCCAAGCCGTTTTTGTTTGAATATGGGATAATCTTTCGTGCAGCAATTTTAAAGTTGATGAATCAGTTCCAAATGTAACATTTTTCTCTTGTAGCATATTAATAAAATCTGTAAACGAAAATGCTTGTTGTTCATCTGTTTCATTTTTGTTTAATATAATATCTTCTCTAACAATATTTTCATCAATATTATCAATGCTTTTAATAATATAAGGTTGAACTTAAAATGAAAAAGGTTGAACTTTTTCGCCAAAAGCTAATTTAGCTACGTCGTATCGATCTTCAGGAGTAGTAGCTGGAACGTTGCAAAAAGATATAATATAAAAATGTGCAATCGCAGCTTGATGCTTGCAAAAGGCACCCAATCTTCCAATTTCGCAACTGCAAAATCATGTTGCTATATCGACTTCGGAAAACACACTATTATTTTGCTCACTAGGAACTTTGTATAAATTTTTAGATAAATTATTATTTATAACTGGGAATAAGCCACATTAAAGATAAAAATACATTTATTGACGTTTCAATTTCCAATTCGGAAATCGTTCTCAAAATACAAATAGTAAATTAAACAAATTTTGTTTTTTGTTACATAGTGAAAAAATTCTTCTGATAATTTAATTTTTTAAATTAATTTAAATTTAAAATTAAATTATCAGAAGAATTTTTTCACTATGTAACAAAAAACAAAATTTGTTTAATTTACTATTTGTATTTTGAGAACGATTTCCGAATTGGAAATTGAAACGTCAATAAATGTATTTTTATCTTTAATGTGGCTTATTCCCAGTTATAAATAATAATTAATTTACAATGCCACAAGAAAATAGCTTCAGAACAATAATTTTTAGATAATTTACTTATATGTTTTTGTTGTAAATATTTAATTTCTCCTAAAAAAAGATTAAAAAGGAGTCACAATCTTTCGTCCAATATCGCAGCAAATCAAACAAATGCAACTAAACATGGCGAAGGGCGTTGAATTACGCATAAATATTACATTTTAAACATTTGAATTTTTTTTAAATTTATTTAAATATATTTTGTTTTATTTCTTACTGCATTCTTTTACTTTTCCTTAATCATACATTAACAAATATTTTAGAATCAGTTTGCTTTTAATTCGTTTTAATGAAAAGTTGTCTATTTTGATTTATGAATATTTTCAACATTCCGTATATGAATTTGGCACCAGAGTAACATTCCGTATACGTGTCTGGCACCTCGCCGCCTATTGGTTGAAACATTGCCGCGTGCCGCAAAGAACCAATAGAAAAGTCCTAGGTGCCGAATACATATACGGAATGTTTAGATGCACCCGGTAGTCTGTCTTTCCTAACCGTTATCAAAAGAAAGTATTCCAGATTCACTTCGAAGATATGTAATAAGTTGTAAACTTGTAAAATAATTATCGAAATAAAAACCGTCGATAAAGGTTTATTTTGAATTGTTGAACATAGTGCTAAAACACATTTTGCCCCAAATCCCATGTTAGTTTCCTAATCTGGAAAACGATGGTTTCTAAAGGTATCGTTTCCTCCATAGGAAAAGAAATCATACACTATCGTCGATACGTCACAACGAACAAAGATTTTGAAACCCCATTTTTTGGTTTGTTGTTATAGAACATCTAGACAAAATGTAGGCTGCGTCGTATGGATTAATACCTCTTTAGTGACATTAAATTTGCAATAAGTTCATATCACGTTTCTTGAAACCAATAGTCAGTGTATGCCGGCATGTCAACAATCCCCATTAAAATCTCGATAGCTAAGAAATCGTGCATCTCATGTCTACACATTTATTTTGTGAACTGTTTGTGTCGAATACAGGTTTGCTTGTTCTATGATTAATTTAACAGTATTTGGACTATAAAGGTTTTAAAATATTGCAAAGGTGTTTTTATATTTTGGGGTTTTGTAAAATCATTGCTTTGTTCTGTTGTTGGAACCACTGTTGGTGTTTTTGGACTACTAGAGAAAATTGTAGCACTACTGAGGAAGTAGTGCTGCTGCTAGTCTTCGTTTACTGATTGAAACAGGTAATATTTTTACAGCTTTTTCTATATCTTCTTCAGAAGTTATATTTTCTTCAACATCATCTGTGTCTTTTGTGAATTCTTTCAAAAAATTACGAGATAATACCTCTTGTTCGTCATCAGTTCGGCTACTTTCTGGATCGCTTTCAGGACCAACTGGAGGCAAAAGAGCCATTATTTTATCAATTCTCCTTTTTTTAGTCTGAAAAAAAATTTAATGTCAAATAAGCCATATTGGGCGGTGTATACTACACAACACAAAAAGTTTTGATTTGATTTTCTGAAAAAATATTTACAGTACACCAAAATTTTGTTTATACATACACAGTATATGTATATATATGTATATATATATATATATATATATATATATATATATATATATATATATATATATATATGTTATATATATATATATATATATATATATATATATATATATATATATATATATATATATATATATATATATATATATATATATATATATATAACAAGCGAGTCTTCTACAGCTGGCGCCGCTTCTCGCATCCTAATTTCCAGCGTTTTCTGTCGAAGCAATCTTCAGTTGTTAGATCTCTGGCGGTCATTGCATCGTCGACATCGTCTCTCCAGGATCATCTTGGTCTACCTCGTTTTCTTCTAGTTGGCGGAGTCCATTCTTCTATTTTTTTTGGCCATCTGTTTTCCGGCATTCTCTGAAGGTGTCCATACCAGTTAAGTCGTTTGGCTTCGATTGTGTCTATTATGTCTAGATCGATTTCCATTTTTCTCCGAATATCTTCGTTTCTTACCCTATCAAGTCTAGTGAGCTGGCAACATCGTCTCCAGTAGTTCATTTCCATGGCCTTAATTTTTGATTTGTTTCTTTGGTTTATTTCCCAGAGTTCGGCGCCGTACAGTCCAATACTTTCTATTATTGTTTTATAAATTCTTCTTTTATTCTCTTTTGTTATTTTTTTATTCCATAATAGTTCGTGTAGCTGTCTGGTGGCTGATCTTGCCTGGCCAATCCTGGAATGCATTTCTTCGCTACTTCCTGCTTTTGATGTTATTTGGACTCCCAAGTACTTAAAATTGTCTGATGATTTTATAGTTCCCATTTCGATTTGTAGGCTTTCTGGTTTTTCTCCTACAACTAAGTACTCAGTTTTTTGTATATTAATTGTGAGGCCCCATTTGTTGTACTCATCTTCCAGTTTTCTAAGCATGTAGCTTATATCACTCTCGTCTTCAGCTAGAATGTGAAGGTCGCCAGCGAAGTGTATCGTGTACAATCTATCATCTCCGATTGGGATGCCCATATTGCAGCACTTTCTTCTCCACAGTGAGAGTGCCTCATTTAGATATATTTTGAAGAGTGTAGGTGATATGCAGCAGCCTTGCTTTATGCCCTTACTAATAGGAATTTCTTTAGTTAATCTATTTCCAATTTTAATGTTTGCCGTCATATTTTTGTAGAGCTGTTGTACTGCTTGTATATTTTTTTTGCTTATTCCTTGTTTTTCCATTGCTACCCAAAGCATTGAAAGTGGTACACTATCGTATGCCTTTGTCAGATCTATAAAGACTATATGAGTTGAAAGGTTGTGGGCTAATCTTTTCTCGATAACTTGCTTTAGAGAGAATATACTGTCCATGCAGGACCTGCCTGCACGAAAGCCATTCTGTTCTTCTACATCTGTCATCTCTTTTTCAATTTTATTTTTTATTATTTTTCCATACAGTCTTGAGAGTGAATTTATGACACTTAGTCCCCTGTAGTTTAAACAATTCTTTCTATCTCCTTTTTTGTAGATGATGTTAATATGTGCTTTTGTCCACTCCGGTGGTAAGTCGTGTCGATTATAGAATAAGGTGAAGACATACGCCAGTAATTCCCGTAATACTTATGGGCTATGTTTTAATAATTCATTTGGTATACCTTGTGGTCCGCATGACTTCCGATTTTTTAGAGTTCGTATTGCATTCTCGACTTCCTGTACTGTTATTTCATCTCTTCACTGAATTGCAGTTCATATGTTGTTGTACTGATGTTTGCGAATTGAGGTCTTGTTTCAGTCAAAAGTTGTGAGTAGTGTTCGATCCAAGATTTTTCTTCTATTAAATCTATTCTACTCGTTTCTTTTCTGTTTGTTCTCAGATTTTATACCATTTTCCATAAACAGTATAATGCTTCAAAAATAAGTTCCCAAAAAATTAGCACTGTATAGTAAATGTAAACTTATATAAACACTTACCACTTGTTGGTTGGAACAACACGATTGCTCAGCCATTTTGTCGAGACTGTATCCATATCGCCAGAACTAAATGCGGGAAAATAAAAATTGTGTTCAAATACTATTGATTTTCAAATAAAGACTTTGAAATATTATGTACATTATAACATACGTTGGCAAGTTCATTCTCAATTTAGGTAATAGGAAACTTAAGAGACGTCAGTTTATTAAGAACTGAATAAACTAATATACACTACTCCAAGTTAACGCACCATTTACAAAAACAAAAAAAGCGATTCATTGGTGTTTTAAATTTAATTGTGTTCATTTTTGTATGGAATATACCATGTATTTGGAACGTTTTTATCAGGTTACTTGTATTGGTTTTTTATTTCAACCAGTTTCCAAGGAACACAAAACAAAGATGCTGTAAATTTGTTAATGTCGATAAGAGGTTAGTGTCATTTTTCAGTCGTTACGTGAACTATTGCTGTTTGGTGGTAACATTTTGCTATTGTTTTAATCAAAATGCAACGCGTATCGAAAAATTTAACTAATGAAAAGAGTGCTCAAATAGTGGTTTTGCACGAAGAAGGTTGGAGTTACAAACATTTAGGGGAACGGTTCGGCGTACACCATACATCGGTCTCACGAATAATGGATCGGTACAGAGAGACCGGTAGTCACTCTAGGTGTCCAGGACAAGGTCGATATTGTGTAACAACGTCCGTTCAAGACCGTTTTTTACGACTTTGCACCCTGAGACAACGATTTGTAACTACCAGAAGCTTACATTCCCAACTTGAAGATGTTCATAATGTTCAAATCAGTTGTGAAACTGTTCACCAACGTCTCAAGGAAGGTAATTTGGTAAATCGTATACTTGCCAGAGGGCCAGACTTGACCGTAGCTCATCGCAGAATGCGTTTAGAATTTGCACGAAATCTTATACATTGTTTGGAGCTGATTGGAATAGAGTTCTGTTTACAGATGAGAGCATATTCTGTCTTTACAATTTTGATAGGTGTATTCGCGTGTACCGACGTCAGAATGAACGGTGTGCACAGTGTAACATGCGTGGAACGACTTTATTCGGTGGAGGGTCGGTTATGGTCTGGGGTGTCGTTTCTTTAACGGGTCGTACAGACTTGGAGGTATTGAATAACGGTACCTTCAACGCTTACCGATCTAGCGTTAACGTTCTTCGAGACCACGTTGTGCCATTTGCTCCTTATATTGTCGAAAATTTTGTTCTAATGCACGATAATGCACGAACGCATGTTGCAAATATAGTGCAAAATTATCTAGAGGAAGTTGGAATCGACGTTATGGAATGGCCAGCGAATAGTTCTGATCTCAATCATATAGAGAATGTTTGGGACTTGCTTGATAGACATCTACGGAATTTTCCTAATTAACCAAACACTCTGCAGGAACTGGAACAACGTCTTGTCCAATTTAAAATGAACTGGATCAGAATACTTTAAAACCGTTTATTTTAAGTACGAATCGTCAATGCCAAGGTGTCATTCGTAGCAGGGGTGGAAATGCGTCTTATTAAGCAAAAAAAATTGAGCAATTTTTATTTTTAGAATTAATGATTTTGTTGTTAATTGTTTTAAGACTGTGTTAAGTTTATGAATATTAGAGATGGTTATCGACAACATCACTAAATATGTTTATTTTACAAAGTAAAGTAATACGAAATAAAATGCTTTTCATTTCAGTTATTATTTTCCTGTTATATGGTAAGTTTTAAAGTGGTGCGTTAATTTCTTGGAGCAGTGTACATATAATTTTTAATGACTAATTCACACAAATAATTCGACATCCCGTATTTCCTCAATCAAAAATGAATAGCTCATAAGCACACCGCTGAAACATTTCTTTTAAAAAAGTTGTCCTGATACCTGTTCTTATATTCTAATAAATAAATAATTAATATGATTTCTTAATTTATAGCTCTGTCAGTTCAACACGGATATGCTGAAGCGAACAAAGTAAATCTTTTGGCGGCAAATTTGAATAATCCATCTGTGGCACTTGGAGGTAGTGGTATATTTGGATCAAATGGTACCGCTTACCAATACTACATTTCAGGAAAAACTGCTTCAAAATTGTTAACAGCTACTGTTGTCAATACTATCTACAACGTTTCAGTTACTAGACACATTACGCAGAATAAATTCTTTAAGGTAAAGCAAGTTTATTTTATATATTTTCTTTTTCCGAATTCTGGCTACACCATCGTATTTTCGGTAAAGTTCGTCAGTACATCCGGCTTTTTTAAAGTATGATATGATACTATGACATTGGAACACGTAAAAATACAACAATTTTTTAAATTGTGAAAACTGTAGTTGTCTAAGTGTGATGACAGACTAGGCGGTTTTGAAAGAGTCATTTATTGCGGCGGTTTTTATGTGCCTGTGACACTTATGTTTATAATTGTTCTTAACGTATCTTTGTTAAATTTAGTTGCAATCTTCCTATAGTGTCGATCGAGTGTGCATCCTTTTACAAGAGGTGCCACTTTCTAACTTCTTTTGTCATTTTTAATAGGGATAAAATTATTATTATATAAGTATTATTATATATATATATATATATATATATATATATATATAATTTATTATTATTTATATATATATATATATTATATATGTATATATATATATATATATTATATACTGTATGTCATCAACCTGTATGCCTCCACTGCTGGACATAGGTCTTTCTCAGCTCTTTCCATCTGTCTTCAGGTCGTCAGTTCATCTAGTTGGTGGGCGTCCTTTGCTCCGTAGTGCTTCTTGTCTTGGTCTCCACTCGGTTGGCTGATAATCTAAGGACGTGTTTTGCCCAATTCCATTTAGTTATGCAATTTTTTCTATAACGTCTGTTGTTTTTGCTCTTCTACGTATTTCTCCGTTTGGGATTTGGTCTCTCAGAGGGACACCTAACTTCTGGCTATCCATAGCCCTCTGAGTCACGTGAACCTTGTTCACTACGTTTTTTGTCAGTGTTATGTTTCCACTGTGTATAGGTAACACACATAGGTCAAAGATTTTCCTTTTGAGGCTTACGTGCAGGTCCGATTTAAATAGATACTTTAATTTACCAAACGCTGGCCAGGCTAACCCTATGCGATGTGTTAGCTTGCATGTCTGGTTATCTCTGCCCAGCAGCAGCAGCAAATTGATTAAACCCAGCCTTAGAGAAATGTTCACCCGGGTAGTACGATTGGGTGTAACAATTCATTGGAGCAAGGTGTGCTAACTCGTGTAAAAACAGGAGTCACCCCACCGTGCTCCAATGCTCAAGACCATCCCTTTCCCCCCTATAGCAATCTGATTCGCTATAGAGGCACAACAATCAGCCAAGTGCTCTTCATGTGGAGGTCCTGGGTAATAGAACCCCAACATGGTTTCCTAATACGATTGTGAAAACTCAGGACAGCGCATCTCCGCTTTATTCCTGTTTATCTTACTGTGGCATATCCGCGAAACTAAATTTGCTTGCTGGGCATCAAGTCCCCGCTCTGAGTCCCGGCTCAGCTCGACGACTTGATGCTCGAGAGTGATGGGCCCTACGTGCCCGGGTTTTTGTGGTTTTTGTTAATTTTTTTTTGGTGGCCGAAGCCGGTTTTTGTTAGTATTTTTTTGATTTTTTTGGTGGCCGAGGCCGGTTTTTTGTGTTTTTTGTGATTTTTTTGGTAGGTAGCCTGTGAAAAGAAAATCATAATTAGTATAAAGTCTATATCATAGCAAAGAAAATAAATAAATATTATACATTACCACAATATAGGCTGTATCCTAGTGCGTGCAACAGGGCCCACTAGTTGGGCGATGGCATATTATGGCGATTTGAGCTACGAACTATCTTCCTAGTGTGTGTGTTTTGATTGTTTTTTCTTCCCACTCTGGTGTTTATAGGTTTTATCCCTCTGGTGGTTTTTTATTTCTCTCTCTGGTTTTGCGTTAATCTAATATCTGTTGTTTAGGTCTTTTGTGCTTCCATCTGTGGAAAGCGTCATACCTCATCATCTCTCTCAGTATGTGACTGGGGTGGTCTTCTAGTTCTGCGAACTTTTTCCTGGCTTTTTCTTTCATGGTATCAGTCACTCTGATTTGCTGAAGTTCTCTGAAAATGAACCTTTCAGCGACGTATCTTGGTACGTTAACTGCTTCCCTTAGGCTTTGGTTGTGTTGAGCCTGTATTTTCTTTTTGGTTGTATTGCATGTGTGTCCCCATGCTAATGATGCGTATGTTAGTATAGGTAGTATTATACTATTTATTAGCGTTATTTTGGTTTTAAGTCGTAGTTTGCTTTTTCTACCTGCTAGACCTCTTATTGCGGCTCTAGCTATGTTAGCTTTTTGTACCGTAGCTTCTACGTGTTTGTTGAATGTTAATCCTTTATCCATTATCACTCCGAGGTATTTCGCTTCGCTTTTCCACTCGATGGGGTTGTCTTGCACAGTTACCTGTTCTTCTGGTCTTTCTCGCCTCTTTTGGAAAAGTACAGCTTGTGTTTTATCTGAATTTATTTTGATTTTCCACTTTAGACTCCATTCTTCAATGTCGTCTAACGCGGTCTGTAGATTGGTGACTGCGATATCTACGTGTCTATGTTTGGCCGCTATTGCTGTATCGTCGGCATATAGACTTAGTAATGTACCTGGTGTTCTAGGTATGTCTGCTGTGTATATCGAGTACAGCAGAGGTGACAATACCGCTCCCTGTGGTACTCCAGCTTCCGGGTTTCCGAGTTCGGATAGGACTTGTCCTATCCGCACTCTGAAACTTCGGTTGCTCAAGTACGAAGAGATCAATCTTGTCATTGCTCCGCTGTACCCGTATTGTCTCATTTTGTATAAAAGTCCTTTATGCCAGACTCTATCGAATGCTTTGCTTACATCCAGGAATGCAGCTCCTGTGTACTGTTTGTCATTGAATCCAGCTGCTATGTACTCTGTTAGTCGGAGTACTTGTAGTTCGCTGGAGTGTTCTGACCTGAAGCCAAATTGGGCTTCTGGTATTATATCTAACCTGTCAGTTTCAGCTTTAAGTCTGCTGAGTATTACTCTTTCCACTATTTTGCTGATTGCTGGTAGTAAGCTAATCGGCCTGTAATTTTGCGGGAATGTGCTGTCTTTTCCGGGCTTTGGTAGCATTATGACATGGGCCTCTTTCCATCTATTCGGGAATTTTCTGAACCTTAGCATTGCGTTTACTATGTTGGTTAAGTATACTATAGCTTTCGCTGGTAGATACTTCAGAGCTCTGTTTGTGATCTGGTCTGGACCGGGTGCCTTTTTTGGTGAGCTGTTCTTAATTAGCTCGTTTATCTCCTCCGGTGTTGTTGGAGGGATAATTTCGTTGGGGTTTTCCGGTCTTTGTCTTTGTGTTTCGACTTCTTCTATGAAGTCGATGTCTTCGTCTGGGTGGTAATTTAATGTACACTCTCTCTCGAGAGTACTCCTCATTACCTCTGCTTTTTCCTCTGTGCTATAGACTATGCCATTTTCTCCGTGTAGTGGGGGAATTGGCTTTCTATCGCTACGTAGGATTTTTTGCAATTTCCAAATATTTTGCATATTTGGACCTTGCTCTTCCATATCTCTTATATGGTTTTCCCAGTTTTCACTACGGTGTTGTTGTAGTGCTGTTTTGACCTCTCTGTTTAGTCTATTTGCTCTGTTTTTGTGTGCTTGATGTCTAGTTCGTCGTGCTATTTGTTTAGCCCTGTTCTTTTCCCTTATCAGATCTTTTAATTCTTGTGGTATATCCTTAAATCTGCCCGTTTGCATTTCTACTTCCTGTTCGGTAGTGCTATTCCTGATTGCCTGTTGTATGATGTTCTCCAACTCTAGGACTTTTACTTCTATTTCTCGTGGATTGTTTATCACGGGGACAATGTTAATTCCCGTGCTTACGAGCCTTTTGAAGTTTGTCCACTTTGTTTTCTTTTTAATCCTTGTAATTTTACTTTCTTCTTCCCACGTTCCTAGTTCTAATAGGATGGGGTTGTGGTCGGTTGTGCCTTCGTTTAGTGTTTTTAGTTCTGTTTGTAGTCCTAGATTTTTAGCAACTACTATGTCGATGTGTGTTGGAAGTGCATTTCCCGGGTAGTGTGTCGGGTCTGTGGGGCCCATTGCCATAACCTCTTCGTTGTTATCTATGTACGCGTTTAGTAGTCTTCCATTTCTGTTCGTAGCTCTATCATTCCAATTAGGGGATCTTGCGTTTAGGTCTCCTATTATGATAGAGGGTTCGTCGTTTAGGAACATATTTAGATCGTCGTCGACCAGCGGATCTTGCGGTCTTACGTAGGCTGAGGTAATTCTGACTTCTCCTTGCCTCATTTCTAGTTTTATTGTCGTGGCTTCCATTGTTACTAGTTGTGGTGTTAGTAATCTAGTGTGTCTTATGCCTTTTTTCACGAGTATTGCTGTGCCGCCTGTTCTCGCTGTATTGTCGTTCCTATATACGTCGTATCCTGGGAATTTGATATTTACGTTGTTCGTGAGTTTTGTTTCTTGAATGGCTACGACGTCCATTTCGTATCTGTTGACCAGTTCGTCCAGAATGTTCTGGTTGGTCCTTATACCCCCTGGATTCCAGGAGCCTATCCTCAAGTATCCCCTATTAGTTTGCACTAGTTCAGTGCTAGCTTGAAGTCTTTTATCGCTTCATTTACTACCCTAGTGAGTAGTTCCCTTACGGAGTTCACTAGGCCATCTTGGTGTTGTCTAGAGATGAGGATGGTTTTCTCACTCTCTTGTGGATTGGTTGCCTGAGCGTAGGATAGCCCAGTATGTGCTGTTTGTGGCCTGTTTTGTGTAGCAGGCCTTTGTCTTTGCTGTTGTTGGGGTCTGCCCCAGACTGGACATCTGGGACAGCCTCTGAAATTGGCCGGATGTTGGCCTTGGCAGTTAGCACATTTGGGCTTCTGCTCTTTTGTCAACGTGCAATCTCTCGTTGCATGTTCTTTGCCGCACTTCACGCAGCGTGGGTCTTTGAAACATGCTCTTTGAGCATGATGATAGCCTTGGCAGTTGAAGCACTGCGTGGGCCCTGTTGCTTTGCGTAGATCTTCTATTTTCACCTTCATGTGTAGCAAGTTGGTGATGCGCTTAAGGCTTTCCACGTCCTCTTTTTCCACTGTCATTACGAACATTGGTAGCATCCTCCTGTCTTCTTTTCTAGAAATCATGTTTTTTATTGAGATTATTTCGATCTCGTGTATTTCTACTAATTCTTCGTGGATGCTTTGTAGGCTTGTTGATGGGGGTAGCCCTCTTAAAACCATTCGTGGTTTTATGTCGTCTTCCAGTGGAAAAGCAATCCACTGGATTTTGGTTTCTTTATTGAAATTTTCAATAATTTTTACCATTTTTCGGTAGTCCTCAGGGCTTTTCGTTTGTATTAATGTCTCTCGTCCACTCCTTGAGAGTTTATTGATTGTATAAACCTGCTCTTTTTGTGCAAGGTTTAATATGGCCCCCGTGTAATTCACGCTCTGTAATTTGATTACAGGCGGTTTCTGTACGAAGGTTTTCCTTGGTACCTCTTCGGTTTCCATGACTGTTTCTTGAGGTTGTAGTTCAGCCTGCGCATCTCCATCTTGTACTGTTTGAGCTTCATCTTGTGGTTTAGTGGGGGTGAGTGCTGGGAAGTCTTCTCTCACTTTCTTGGGCTTGGGTGCCTCTTTGGGCTTTTCTTCTGTTTGTTTGGCTTTGGGGATTGTTCCCGTAGCTTTCTTTTTTGGAATTGGGACCTGGTTTTCCAGGTTGTCTTCTTTTCTTTTAGGTGCCTGTTTTTCCAGGGTCACCTCTGATTTCTTGCCCTCAAGTTGTTCGAATTTCTTATCCATATGTTCAATTATGGACTTTTTGGAGTTTATTATAATGTCTTGTAGTTCCTCGATTTTCTTTTTGAGGGCTAAGATTTCCTTCTCCTTTTCTTGAAGGAGCATCTTCGCTTTTTGCAGTTCAGACTTTTCGTCCTCGCTGCTTTTTAGAGGTCTGGTTCTTTTACCAGCTTTTGTCGCCTGTTTTTGCGTTTCTTCGTCCGTAGTGTCGTCTATGCGGCTTCCCTCCGCACAGGCTTTCGTACGCCTCTTCTTGTTCTTGGGGCGCTTGAAATCTTCTTCGTTTACGGCGTTTTCTTTCCAGTCGTCGTCTACTGGGAGATCTTTGAATATCTCATAATTCGTGGTCGAATCGTCGGTGGCATCAAGGGATAACGCGTCATAGATGTTGCCGTGGAGTTTCCTCTCACGACAACCATTAGGGGCAGATGGGTTCGCCTTACGAATCGGCGGGGACCTAGAACGGTCCATGTTGGGGCGGGGCCTAATCAAAAAATTTGGAAGAAGGCTTTTTTGTTGTCCGTCTGGCCCGCTGCCAGCACGGATTCTGGGTGCCACCCAGTGACCTGTCCGCGGTTGTTCACACTTTAGGACAGAACTAAAGCGGTATCCACTTGAATTTCTCAATTCTCTGACCCTGGGGCCGTGTCTGCCAGATATAAAGTTCAAAACAACTATATCTCACAGTGTCATCCCAACGGAGGCACAGAGAATATCCCGACGGGCGAAGCCCGTTTGCTTCTTCACTACCTTACGCCGCAATTTTGGCCTCCGTGAAGATTTGATTTAAAAAACAAATCTCCCCGGCTAACCTAGTCGCAACGCAAGGTTTTGCCTCTCTTTTTCAGGCCTAGGCGCTTTAACGCCAAGTCACCGCTATCGTGCTTACATTCACGATATGAACTAAAAAGTTCAGCTCGGACTTGGTCGTCTCTACGCTTCGGCGGTGTCGCTCCTCTCACTGCTTGGCACGTCAGCTCCGTTCGACTGCTCGAGTCGAACTTGAATGTTATCTCTGCCCAATCGAAATTCATGACCTAAGTACTTATACGATGCAGTCTGCGCAATATCCCTTCCATCAACAGCAATTTTTCGATTTAACACCAGATCAGCCATTATTTGCGTCTTGTTTATGTGTTCTGTATTCAGATAATGGTGTATTCTGATAATGCTTTTATCATTTTCTGATGGCTTATGGTATCGCATGCTTTCTCGTAACCCACAAATATCAGTGCGAATGCTTGGTTGTATTCTGAAGACTTCTCTATCAGGTTCTTTATCACTAAGATATGGTTGTTTAATCGCTCTTCTATTTGTCAATTTTAATAGGTATTTTTATTTTATCTATTCTCAGTTCTATTATGTATTAAAAAAAAAACAACAGCAGCAGAAACGTTTAATTTTTTTCCTGATAAATGGCTTTAGCAGAACCAATTAGCCAGACTAGATTGTGTTTTTTTTAAGTCGACTGAATGTTATATATTATTGATTGCAGATTCATAATCAAAATTATCTTATTATCAGAATGTTAGTATTAAGTAGTAATATTATTTTTGTAGATATATAAATTTTGTTTTATTTTATTTTTTGTTGTTATTTTATTCTTTTATTATTTTATTGGTTTTTTGTTGGTTTTTATCTTTTAATTTAAATAGTAGGTAGCTATTGGCTAATGTCAAATTCATTTTGATAGTTAATCTGATATCAATACAATTTTTTACATGAATTATTATAATATTCTAATGTTTACAGGGTGGTCTTGGAAGCTTTGACTTTGATGATGATAAACCAGAAATTCTAAATTACAAAAGTAATAGATTATTTGAAAACAAAAAATATGCAACGAAAACACTAGATCTTTCCAAACATAATATCCAAGAGAAAATATGCCACAGGTCTTTCTGCTGTCAATTTAACATTAATGTAACAACAAATTCCAGCTCGGATATATATAAGTAAGTATTGTTTAGTGATATTTTAATTTTATATTTTGGATTTGTACAGTATGACATATATGTCATATACTTATTTTATTTTTGTTATTAAATTCAATATTTTGAACAATAGATATATGTATAAAGCAATGATCTAAGAGTACTGTTGATAGAATAGAAAAAAAAAAAATGAATGCGGAGCCAGGAGCTAACAGAACAAGAAACTTTAAAGTCAAGAGATTATCAAACCTCTTTAACATTGAAGTAAGGAAGCAATACTTGCGATGGATTCATTCTGAAATTAAACCTAAGTAAACCGGCTATACTAAAAAAAAATAAACCCTAAGGAATGAGAAGGAACCTATCCCGTCTATACATGGAAAAAGCGGGATAGTATAAAAGAAAAAAGAAAAAATAGACTCGATGAAAAACTTCCTCGAGGACCCTACAGATTGGACTATCGTTAGAAAGTAGAATATAGTCACACAAGACTTTCTATAGACGAAGGAGTAGCTCACACTTTCCGAAAATCTAAAACCAAAATCAAAAGGCATTTTCCTTCGAAATTATAGATTAATCAGCATAGTAACATTGGTAAAAGGGTAATGTTAGCTAAAGTGAAGGAAAAGACTAAAATAATAATAGGAATTACACCAGAAGCACAATTTGCTATGGTTGACACCATACATCATAGAGGGATTTAACCAGAACAAATATACCGTGATTGCATTCATGGATGTCAGCAAATCATTGGACAGGATGTGGCGTAAAGGACTCAATCACAAGATAAACCTATTTAGATACAGTAAGTACACGCCATGCCTTCTGACCTCGTACTTGACTAAATTTGGAGTAAATTTTAGTCTGAGACCTGAGTAATTCAGGCCGAGGTACAACTCCTAGAGTATTAAGTTACAGGATAAGGAGAGAAATAAGAACAACATAAAATAGCCCCATAATCGTAAAGAAGTTCCAAATAGGATTGGACTGTATTTGGTAAATAAATGCAGATCATAAAAATCAGAAATAAGTACAAAAAGAAAAAAAAAATACAAACAGCTACAAAGTTACAAATATATACAGGAGGTATGTGAAGGCTCTATATAACTGAGAATGCATGACTCGCCCCATTATTTAAAAACTGTATTATTTATTAACGTCGGTCAGATAGCTCAGCGGGCTGTGCGGCTGCCTCTCATTCGCTTCACTGTCGAATGGTTCAGTGGATGTGGGTCGAGCCCCAGCTCGGTGTACGGAAAACAAAAAGTCTAACGCAGCAGTTTAAAATTCTAGATGAATCTGCGGCTTAGACTAGGATATGCTGGGATCTGATCGCCTATGGTGGAGCAGTACGGCAAGAGATAAGGGCTTGCGTCTCGGTGATACTCCTCCATAGATCCCTACCGGACGGGCGTAACGCCTAACCGGATATATATATATATATATATATATATATATATATTTATATATATATATATATATATATATATATATATATATATATATATTATTTATTAACAAGTTTGGGTTACATATAGTTTTCTTTTCTATACTACAACTACAAATCGCGATATCTGAACATCGAGGTCGGGTAACGACAGATGCGAACTCGGTGATGACACTCATGTCAGCCAACTGGCGAGGAAACCAACATTTATTTTGCCAAATAGACAGCTAATCGAACGGCACATACAACCCTGGACAAAGCCCTGAACGACATTCATCGTTGGCTCGAAGGCCGGCCACACATGCAGAGAAGATATGCAAAAGATGCAAAATCGACTTCAAAGGTCTTAGAAAATACAAAAGGATTTAGTAAAAGTACCTTACCAGTTAACTGCAGTTTTCAAGGCATCGAAGGTGTTCGAATCTGAAGGATGAGCAGGCTTCTTAGTCATTTATTTCTTCATCATTACGGCCTCTCGCGTCATTTTCTTTGGTTATAATAGCCTTGTTCTCAAGGACTTGATTTACGATTTCGTCAACATTAAAATGCTGATAACCGAGGTCATTAATACCGTTGTGTTTAAACCACTTTCTTGCATTAAGTGCAATTACGGAAAATGTTTAGAATAGAACCACTGCTTCATATTCGGTAGCAGTGTTGTCTTTCTCTGTAGTGTCGGCGTTTGTCACTTTTTGACCTTCGCTTAAAAGTGGAGCACATTTTTTTTACGCGTTTTGTAAGTGGTTTTTAGTAAGAGTCTCCCATGCATCAGCTAACATATAAATTGAGTCCATTAGATCGGGGTATTTTCACAATTTTTTTTCTACATATGCTTTTTTCAGTTTTTCTATAAAACTCTAGTCTATTGGTTGCACGATGGAGATCACAGTTGGTGGAAGGAACATTACTTGCATCTCGTCACCAATTTTGTTTAAAACTTCAAGTCTCTAGCGTGCATCTGACAACTAGCGCAAAACAATAAAATATGCTGTGCTCGACACGATCTGGATTTGCGACGGTCAGAATTTTTGACGCCCGAACTAACCAGGTTGTTAGCTAAATATTTTAGTTTAATTATCATTGCAATTTATTTTTTTTGTTTTTATTTGCCGTCTTTTACTTTAGTTCGCTTTAAAGAAAAGGCTATAAAGGTTCAGCTGCATACCGTTAAAGGTTAAATAATTTGTTACACAAACTGTACTACAATTTCTATTTAAAATATGTTATGTTTACAATTATTACATTCTTGTGCATATTAATAGATTTTAATAAGTTGGTAATTTTTTTAGGTTGGTTGCTTACAATGGCCCAATAGATATTTACGGAACCCATAAGAAAAACCAAAAGGTTTGCTCCATTGTAGCTTGTGAGACTTCAGATGATAGTACTTGCGGCAGCCGCACTGTGGAACCTAATACAAAGTTCAGCAATATTTTGGTTGAAAGTACAGTTGCTAATACCAACAGCTTTATACCATTGACGCTAACTACTAAATTAGTACCAATATTTAACACAACGTTTGATTCAACAGCAGTCAAAAATGACAGAAAACTAACCCTTCTCAGTGAATTAGAAACCGGCAGTGTTCTTGCTTTTGGTATTGTAGAGACCAGTATTAGTGGTAGTACCACGGTTACATTTAGTTTTGCTCTAATGAGTATTATATTATTGCGTTATATTCTCTTTTAGATTAAATTATTTTTTAATATGGCTAAATTCTCTAAAATCTTAGATAAGGATTTGTAATCAAATTATGTACAATTTTAAACAACACAAGATTAAACAACAATTTTAAACGACACAAAATCTGTTTTATTTTGATTATATTTTAAATACAAAACTGTCAACAAAGTTTTTAGACCTTATATTGTAACGCACATTAAACCTTAATGAGTAAAAAGGAGGTCCAGAAGTTAGACGCTATTTTGGGCCAGGCAAAAATTAGGGAAACTTCCCGTAGGGAAGTTTTGTTTTTGAATTTTAATTAAACGAAGAAATTCGTATAGACTACAGTCTATGTGAAAATTACATATTTCAATGATATCATTTTTATAGTAATCACATGCACTTATTACTTAACTTTTCAATTAAAATCATAAGTTCGTATTTTTTATTTTTTTAACCCCCGGTAGAGGAGAAAAGATGAACATTTAAAAAAAATGTAAATAAAGATTAGGTTAGTAATACGAATTGGCAACTACTATTCCGAAACAGTTTTCGAAGCTTTAATTTTTCGATCCACCCTACTTGACATGCTAGTCAAAAGTCCCTTCCCCCCTCGTAACTTTTAAACGGTTATTGTTATAATAGCGAAATTTGGAAGAAGGTAATAAACAGACGTAGGCTTTTCAACTAGTCATAACAGGTGACGTAATAGCATCGAGCAAAAAGACAAAAGAGGAAATGTAAAGGTAGTGGGGACAAAAATATTGTTAGACAGGAAGTGCCATCTTGAGAGGCCACTTTAAACAAAGACAGTCTCTTTCCTTGTTTAAGAAATCAAATTTAGTTTGGTTATGTTATTGTTTGTCCCAACTGTCACATGAAATTTTATTTATATTGAAGTTTTTTACCATTTGTGTCACATTTTAGACTATTATCGTTAATATTTAATTAAAACTTTCTCGTCTGAAAAATATTTTATAGCTATTGTTAATAAGTGTCGAAAAATTTAAATTTAGCGCCTTTGCATTTCCGGATATGTCCGCCATCAGAGTCCACTTTTTTGGTCTCCTTTTCATAACGATTAGATTCCCTCTTTTGTCTTTTTGCTCGATGCGTAATAGTGACAGATGACGTTTCAGTGCCACTGTGACAGATAATTTTAAATGGGACCTTATGGCAAGTGATACCTCGTTTGACAGGTATTGAAAATAACTATGCAGTCATAATAATTTTGTTTGAGTTTAAGCCCATTTTGATGAATAAATTAAATAAATACTAAAATTGTAACTTCTCATTTAGTTAATAAACATTTACCAACCAGTTCTTATGGTAAGTGTTCAACCCTATTGCCCTATTGCCTAAGTGTGGATATCATTATTGCTATGCATATGTTAAATTAAGTAATCCACTATTATAATTATAATTCCAACTTAAAATCTCGTAGGTACTGAAAAATCAATAAGTATTTAAAATAATATCTAGTTACAGGAAGTAGTTTTCTTTGTTATGTTAAGAAACACATAAAAATATGACAACGGAATGAAACATCCAAAATAAAAAAATTAAAATATTATATTCCATAAAATACATATAAATAAATAACTACAATAACAAGAAATTATTGTTTAGAGTTCAAAACCTACATTAGTTCGGCTGTTAACCCCATTACCACTAAATGGCACTTCCCGTTCCAAACATATACTGCAAATAGGGACATTGTTTTCTTTAATTTTTTCATGCATTACTTTTATAGTATATGCCGCAAACACAATTCCAAGCACGGTACCTGCCAATACGTCCCACCAATGATGTCTTCTGTCGGTGATTCTTGACAATGAGCACACCATGGACCAGGTAAGACAAAAAGAAATTAAGAATGGTCGCATGATATAACCAGAGTTAACAGTGGTCATTCTTACGTGAACTACATACTGAAAAGATAGAAATAATGATATAGAATAAATAGAAATGAAAATATATTGTTAGTAAAAGATATGTTGTAAGAGGTTCATTAATAAACCTTTCCAAAAAAAAAAAACAAAATAAAAGACAAATTATAAACCTAAAAATATTAAAATTATTGATATGTTTGATTAAATTAAATATAAACGAACTATTAGAATTATGGATACGAATAATTAACCCTACACTGGTCGCGTCCGTAAAATGTATTCAGTGTTTGCGCTTAGTCTGCCAGACCCCATATTTATTTCATGTATTATTTGCAAAATTTTAAAAAATACCAATTTCGGTTTACTGGATTTTTTTAAACAGTATACTGATTCTAAATTTTTTAATAAATAATAAACTTATTTCGTATTTCATGACATTTCATAAACATAAAGTAAAATAGTTATTTTACTGCATAATAATTAAAAACGAAACTCATTTACTATTACTACTTTTGTTGTTTGTTTGTGTTTAAATGACTGCGGACACTAAATCCATTCGCCAATCTTACAATTTGAGGTGTAGGTAGTGTGTGTGTGTGTGTGTGTGTGTGTGTGTGTGTGTGTGTGTGTGTGTGTGTGTGTGTGTGTGTGTGTGTGTGTGTGTGTGTGTGTGTGTGTGTGTGTGTGTGTGTGTGTGTGTAGAGTAATTGTCTTGATACTTAGCAAAGTCGACGTCATTGTCTTTGCTAAGAGACGTTAATTGTATCCGAACGTCTGCGGTCCCTCCGGTGTGTACCGATCACACAAGGATAGAAATTATTTTCATTTATTAATTTTTTTAATAAACGAAAATTTCCACCCAGGTGGGATTCGAACTCACGACCTTTAGGTTTAAAGGCAGGCGCTCTTACCACTGAGCCACAGAGGGGGTTACTATTACTACTTTATTAAAACCAAAAGGACCAGTAAAATGCAGATAAATGTATCTAAAAATATAATAATTTAAATAATAATACACGTTTATAGACAATGTTGTTAAACTGTTTATTCGGCCTGTTAGACGTTGTCTTCTGCGATTAGTTCTCGACATCGTGATAGAAAAGCTAATGATACAAGAAGTTAAGCTTTCTTCTTCTAGAGAAAATAAAAAATGTTTTCTGCTTCTTATACCAATATTTTTGTGTAGCATTAATTCGCAGGTCATTATTTTTATATTACCTACCTAAGCTATAAATACCGTACAAAAATGTTTGACCAAAAAACTTAACCCTTTGAGTGATAACTTTATCTTACCTGCGACTGATAAGAATTGACGTTGTTGTGAACCAGATAGGTATAGTCATACAACGACCAGATTTAAAGATTTTAAAATTTGAATTATTATTACATAATATAATATAATTACAATTAGTCGATTTAATCTTATAAGCAAAATACAACAATGCATAGGTTCTAGTTGTTAATTCGCACTCGTTTTGCTTTTTTTCCTTTTGTATTTTTCTCTGTTTCCCCATTCATTTTTTTCCCTCGCTACGTATCAAACAACTCCTTAGAAACTACATACAAATGGGTAGAATTAGTATTCACTACATCAAGTAGAAAAATTATAGGAATACTTACTGCTGAGAATATTCCAATATACCAGGCAATTGAAGAGTGTCCTGATGGGAATGACAAGGAGGAGTCAACCAAAAATGAAGGTGCAAATTCTGTTGACTTACAGGTAAAAGTTTCTATGAACGTGCCGATAGAACAGTTCTCCGCAGTGTCCGGCTGACAGGTAGTCAAAAAATGGGGTCTGTGTTCACCAACTAATACTTTTCCTATTGACGTAACCAATAAAGTTAATGTCGCACCTACTGTAGCCTCACTAACGTAGAATACTACAGCATGCCAGTTGATTTGCCTAAATGACTGATGGGCCAGCAGTTCTGTAACCAATACCATCACTATCACTAGAGCAGGAGCTGTTAATCCTAATGTGACTGGGTGAATTGTATCACCGGTATATTTATGTGATATAAGAGGATCTCCACAATAAAAACCTTGTTGTACTGCAGGAATTGTACCAAACTCCAAGAGAACAATCATCAATACAGCTGTAAAAAATATATTCTAGATTTATAGCTATATATCTCTGTTTTTATTCTCACCTTAACCTAATACTATCTGATGAACCCTAAGTGATCGGAGCATAAACTTAGACAACAAACAAGGCATTCGTGATTTTTTCTCATTATGGTTAAGGATTATACATTTTTATTTTTAATTTGAAAATTTATATTAATACAATGTTTATGGTAGAAGATTATAACGATCTTTACATAGGGTAAGCTATACAGTGATTGGCCACTACTAGTTATTGGCACATTGTCGGGTTTTTACATTATTTTAAGAATATAACGAAATTCACTGACAAATGTTATTTTTTTATGACAGAGGCAACCATGTACAAAATAGTATTTGAGCTCATTTTATTGCACTACCTAACCTTAAAAAATTATCGACAGATCTATCAGACGGTGTGCTGTGTATCAACATTTTTTATCAAAAATACTTAAGAATCGTAAAAACCGATAGTATTGGAAAAAAGGATATTTTATAAGGTATGTTTTGTTACATAAAATTTATAGTTTTAAGTTATTTTATTATGTTTAAAATGACTAAATGTAAGTCAATAATTGCGTGAATGTGCTTCGTTTTTATTAAATTATCTATGCCAATCACTGGTTCTAATTTCTTTATATTAGACAGTTATTGGCCACCTGGCCATTCACTGTAAAAATACATTTTATTAATAATATTTTATGTTTAGTGATTGGCACATGGGTACATAGATATTTTTTTTTGTAGATGCCCAAAGTAAAAGAGGGTGCACAATACGAAAAAAAATATGCCGAAGAAGATGTTTTGCTTACGTTGAAGGCCATCGAAAATGGGATGTCACAAAGAAAAGCTTCCCAAATATTTAAAGTACCACGTCAAACACTTCAGTTTAGAAAAAGTGATAAGTTTACTAATAAGATAACTTTGGGACCAAGCAGTATTTTGAATAATAAGGAGGAAGCTATTTTAGAAGAATGGATATTGACAAGTTACAAAAAAGGATTTCCAGTTAGGAAAGTAGATATTCAAGCTTCTGTTAAGGAATTTTTAGATTCAAACCCACGTGAAAATCCATTTCAGGACAATTTTCCTGGAGAAGGCTGGTATCGAGGCTTTCTTAAGCGACATGAAATTTTAACTAACCGAACACCAGAAGCAGTTACTTCGGCTAGTGCAGTTGTTTCAGAAGGAGATGTTCGTAAATGGTTTTCTTTAGTCGAGGAATATTTAAAAAGTAAAAATTTAGATTATATTCTGCAAGACCCCACTAGAATTTTTAATGGAGATGAAACATGTTTTTATCGGTGTCCAAAAAATTTTAAAGTTATTGCGCCTCGTGGAGCACGGAATGTTTATGAGGTAGATTCTGGTCAAGCAAAAATGAATATCACCGTGATGTTTACCTTTTCTGCATCTGGTCAAGTAACTGATCCGATGATTATTTATCCGTACAAAAGACTTCCGACTTCTATAGTTAATTCAGTGCCTTCTTCTTGGGGAATTGGACACAGTGATAATGGTTGTATGAAAGTTGAGTTATTTTACGAGTATATTGGTAATGTTTTGTATCCATATTTAAAAAAAATGGCACTACTTTTCCAATAATCCTTTTTATAGATGGCCATTCTACACATCAAACCCTAAAGTTGAGTCAACTGTGTACGAAACTGCAGATAATTTTAATATCGTTGTATCCCAACGCAACACGGTTAATGCAACCAGCAGATGTTGCTGCATTCAAACCGTTAAAAACAGGTTGGAAAAAAGCAGTGTTAGAATTCAGAAGAAAACATCCCCATGAAATGCTGACTAAAGAAAAATTTGCACCAATCCTGAAAGATGTCATAGAAGACTACGCAAAAGCTGAAACAATAAAAAATGGGTTTAGAGCAAGTGGATTATATCCATGGAACGCATCAGGTATAGACTTTACCAAATGTCTGGGAACAAAAAAGGAAACAAACATATATTCAGATACAAACTTAAAGAAAAAAGGTTCACCTAATATTCCGTTTATCTCTTTTAATCAATTTAAGGAAATAGTTGGCGAAGAGAGAATAGCCATATTTAAAAAATTGATCAGTTTGACGAAGCAAGTCATGATGAGTTTATCTTGTTATATAAATTATATAAAGAATTTGAAAAGAGCAATAGCCATCTTAATACGGAAATTCGTGACGATTCAGAAAACCTAGAAATCAGTACAGTGGACACAGAAATAGAAAATATGGAAATTATTTTCGACGAAAATATACTTTTTAGACTAGATGTAAATGAAGAGGAAAAAAGCGACCAACATTTATCACGTCACAATTATTTCGAAGAAACTGTGGAGACAGGGGAAGAATTACAAAAAAATGTAACACACGAAGGGCATGTAGAAGAATTACTTATACAGGAAAATAAAAAAGAAACTCGGCCTTTACCAGAGGCTATGGAAACAAATGATATATTAGATGAAAATTTAACACAGGAAAAATCTGTAGAAAAATTACCTAATAAGGAAAATAAAGAAGAAACCCAGTCTTTAGAAGAAACTGTGCTAACAAGTGATATATCACAAGAAATTTTAACCCAAGAGGTGCTTCAGTTGAAGAATCATTTATAGAGGACAATAAAGAAAATACCCAAAATAATAGAAGCATTCGAGATTTCGTTATTTGGCCTAAAACACCAGAAAGAAAAGGAAAAAAGGATTACCAACGATTACCGTTTGTTTTAACTAGTTCAGGATGGAAAAGAATTCAGATGGAGAAATTGGCAAATAAAAAACAAGAACAGAAAAGAAAAGAAGCACGTAAAACAGAAAGATTATCCAAGCAAAAAGAAAAAGCTGCAAAAAAAATTGGGAGAAAAAACATCAAAACAAGAAAGCAAAAAAATGATACAGTGAAAGAATACAAAAATAAAACTAAATCTAAAAGTCCCAAACTGGATACTGACCGCCTAAACAAATATGATAATGCAGCAGGGACAAGCGGATTAAACAATAATACAAAAATACCTCAACGTCACGTACGAAAAGTATTCAGCAGTTCTGGAAGTGATGATGAACCCCAAAAGAATGACTTTGTTTATAATTCAATAGCTGTCGGAAAATTTTGTTTTATTTGTACGAAAAATATTACAAATTCAAACAAAGGTATCCGATGCTACAAGTGCAGCCGAACGTATCATAATTTGTGCATTATAAAAAATAATCCTTCAGTAGATAAGGATAAAATTTTTTATTGTAAGACTTGTGTTGCTGTATAAATAAAATCTTTGAAATTTTTTTTTATTATCTAACAACAACATAATAATATCCAAAAATAAATTAATTCTACACTAGGTATAGGTACGTACCTATCTACCTATCGTTTTAATAATGTGATTTACCTATGCCAATTACTGGTATTCAAGTGGCCAATAATTGAAAGTTAGTGGCCAATCTTTGGTTATTTTACAAATAACAAATTGTTTCGAAATTACAAATAAACATTGATTTAAATGGAGAAAATATTTTTTAAAATCATTTATCAATAAACTGAAGAAACCAAAAAAATAATATTACGGGGTCTGTAAGTGAAAATTTATTAAAAAAAATTGAATTAACTGCATCCACCTTCTTAACTGGCCAATCACTGTATAGTTTACCCTAGGACTGTTCAAAGTAGAATAATCAAAAATATCGATATCTTCTTGTTTCAGTTTTGTACAAGAATTTATAAAAGGAATATGAACTTTTCAATAAATTTCGAAAACAATAAAGCATAAAATATAAATGAGCTGTGTTATGAAATCTGTGCTCTCAATAATTGTTAAACGGAGTATATTTGTGAATTGAATTTTTAGCATTATATCTCATTAGTTTCATAAACTGTGAACGCACAGGAGACAGGTGTGTCAATAGTTACATGAAGGCAAGTGTTACATTGCTATTACAGGGCCATCTATGACTCATAGAATATAGAATTGTAATCAGCGTTGCTGGGAGTGTCCGTGCAGCTGACAGCGTGACAGTTAGTGTACACCTACATTGGAACCGTATTTCTCCCGATCCGATATCGGGCGACGTCGGCCGACATCGGATTGAAAACAAACTCAAGGTATTAAATCATAGTGCCTAGACTGCTTCCATGAAGAAGCAGTATATATATATATATATATATATATATATATATATATATATATATATATATATATATATATAAAAAAAAAAAAAGAAAAGAAATTTAATCTTTGCAGATAAGTTAGATAGTAAACTCTTAAATATTTTTGCAGATTTGCCCAATATTTAAGAGTTTACTATATATATATATATATATATATATATATATATATATATATATATATATATATATATATATATGTATATATATATATACATATATATATATATATATATATATATATATATATATATATATATATATATATATATATATATATATATATATCTTCTCGGAAGAACCGCGTTGAGAATTTGAAACTCGACGTTAAGTTAGCCAAAAATAGCTGATAACACTTCGAAACCACAGCCCTGTCATCATAAAATCTCAAATCCACTTGCTGGTTACGTTACGTTGATGACACCTTTGCGATTTGGCCCCGTGGTATTACATTAGATCGCTTCCTCTCCCACCTGAATGGAGTACATCCCAGTATTCAATTCACGATGGAAGTTGAGTCTGAAGCGTCTTTGCCATTTCTTGATGTTCCTTTTCAGAAACACCTACCTTACAGTTTTTCCTATTCCGTGTAGCGGAAACCCACCCATACAAAACATTATCTCAAATCATCTTCTCGCCCAAGTCAATTCAGTTATCAACACTCTTGTTTCTCGCTCGATAAGACTTAGCAAAACAATCACAATTTCTGTTCGCGATCAAACCAAAATTTCGTTTCCTTTTATTGAAGGTGTCACTGACAAAAGCAGTAGAACTCTTAACCCTGTACACATCAAAACCATCTTCACGAATCACTACAAGTTGAAGACCATGGTGTCTACGAGATACCTTGTTCTAGTTGCCCACGTACATACAGAGGACATACAAACCGACGAATCCATAACCATATTAACGAACATTCTATATCTGTAAAACATATCAATACTACCTCAGACCTAGCCCGAAATCATATTCAGACAGGCCACAAAATAGATTTCAAAAAACCAAAACTATCGTCTCATCCGCTTCTTAAAATCGAGAATCATTCATGAAGCCATCGAAATTGAATAATGGCCTAACAGCTTAAACACGGGAGATGACGCTAAACGACTGCTGGCAACATGGCGACCGCTGCTTCAGCTACCCCCGCCCCCACCCATCCTGCTCAGACCATTTTCGCGCATACCGTTTCCGCGCAAACTGAGAGTATAGAAACAGCTACACAGGGTAAGACCGGTCGTCAAAAGCCTAAGAGAAGCAGTAAACGTACCAAGATACGTAGCTGAAAGATTTCTCTTTAGAGAATTACAGCAAATCAGAGTGACTGACACTATGAAAGAAAAAGCAAGGATCAAGTTTGCAGAATTAGAGAACTACCACAGTCACATTCTACGAGAGACAATGAGTTATGACGCTTTCCACGGATGGAAGCACAAAAGACCGAAACAACAGATAGTAGACTAAAGAAATACCAGAGAAAGAAATAAAAAAACCCCCCTCCAGAGGGAAACGTAACCCTAAAAAACACGAGAGTGAAAAGAAAATCCAAAATCAAAATACAAAACATAAGGAAGATAGTTCGTAGCTCAAGTCACCCAGGATACCGCATATCGCCTCGCACACAGTGGGCTCAGCTGCTTATACAAAGATACAGTCTGTATTGTGTTATCGTATAATATTTTATATATTTTCTTTATTATAATATAGACTATATACTAATTATGATTTTTTGTTCACAGGGCCACCTACAAAAAAGAACCACAAAAAACACAAAAAACCGGCTTCGGCCACCAAAAAAATTAAAAAACTACTAACAAAAACCGGCTCCGGCCACCAAAAAAAATTAACAAAACCCAAAAACCCGGGCACGTAGGGCCCATCCCCTTGAGCACCAAGTCGCCAAACTGAGCTGGGACTCATTAACATAACAGGAATATAGCGGAGATGCGCTGCTCTGAGTTTTTGCATTCGGTTAGGAAACCATGTTGGGATTCTATTACCCAGGACCTCCACATGAAGAGCATTTGGCTGATTGTTGTGCCTCTATAGCGCATCAGAGTGCTATAGGGGGAAAGGGATGGTCTAGAGCATTGGAGCACGGTGGGGTGACTCCTGTTTATACTCGAGTTAACATACCTTGCTCCAATGAATTGTTACACCGATCGTACTACTTAGGGGTAAACATTTCTCATAGGCTGGGTTCAATTAAATTGCTTGCTTGCTTGAGACCGGTCGTCATTAAACACTGACGAGTAGACATATTGAGACGTCAGGGTTGTTTGACGGTTCTTGTATATCTCACCAGGGGCCTTAGTCATGGACTAATACGCACCCCGGTGCGCATCGCCCTGCCTTAAAACATCTTCCAATTTTTCTATTGGCCAAGTGATCTTAAAATGCCATATAGAAATATATAAATATGCGAGATTTTTCTATCTCGGCCAGCTCAGCTGAGTTTGCGTCGTGATTTCGTAGAGTAGGGTTGTGTGTTCTTGTTTTTAGGTTCTCGTTCGCTCCTACAGCACAGGATCAGCTTAACAGCCATAGGCACCGTTATAAAGCTGATCGCTTGGACGAACGACGTGCCGAAGAGATAAGACAGACAAAGGCGATAAGAAGCTACAAACAATAGAACAATAGAAGCATTGTTCTTTGTTCAACCCTCCCATTGTTCGATCTAACGGTTTTTAAAAAACCGTTTAGTCTTCATAGGGCTGCTATTGTGTTGGTTGGGGGCTCCCGTCTGCTGTTTCGGAGATTCTGCTGGTCACGGTGAGGGCTTAGTGGATGGTCCTGTAAGAAGCCATCCGCGTGCCGTAGCCGGGGCTTTCAGCTTCCGTTAGGGCGATAGGACGACCAGGTCCAAGATTGTAGCGGTTCTGTGATATTTTAGGTACAGAAACAAGAAAACAAAGAAGAATTAATTCAGTCGTGATTCAAAAAGTGTTGTATCTTTTCATCTGGGGCAGTCCGTTATATACACGCTCTTAGATAACTGGTAAACTGGTGTAAGCATAGTGGGTGGTTGTTGTAAGAAAAGGCCACCTACGAACGCTGTAAGCCGGTTCTCCCGAGTTACTAATTGCGTGTTGACTAGCTGGCCTAGTGTTACGTACGGTACTTGAGTCGCGAACTGACTTCGGTGGTTTTCCATATAGTTACTAATTTTTAATTAGTAACTTGAGAAAATTCTGATTGGAAGTTCCAATTAATATAAATAGAAAAACCAATTAGTACACAAGGCAGTGCATCGAGGGACCGACAGCTCATTTTATAGTTAGTATAGTCCGGCGACCCGCCATCCTATACATTGCACAGCGTATAGGAAAAAGGGTGTCTTCTGAGTGTACGCCTAGTTACCACATCGAAATTCCACGCTCGACCCGTTCCAACAGGTCAAAAACGCGTCCAGCTGAACCACCTGACCCTCCTCCCATACAAAATCAATCGATAATTTCCAATAACAGTAATAACGACGTAGCACCTGATCTCACACCTGACTTTCCACCTTTACCCCAACTTTCTTACCAAAATCCAATCTCACCGCTTCCCATTTCACCTAACAATCAATACATACTACCGACACCTACTACCTACACTATTCCTACAATCCATATACCCGATATCACCAACACCACTCCCAAGATGAACGTCGCCACTGACAGTTTCGTCGAGGACCTGGTTACCACCCTTCCCATCGACCAAATCGACCGGTTGATCGCGCGATTGCAGCTGTCCCGGTCCTCCCTTATCGCCAATCCTCTCTCAGCACCCACTAACACATTAGCACACCTACAACAACAAACTTCTACTACTCATACTACCACTATCCAGCCTACACCTCAACTCATACCCCAAATTAATACACAAGTAAAAACTACCATCCCGCAACAAAACCCTACCTATGCCACCGCTGCACACACCCCTAAATCACAGCAACCACAAACAACCTCTCAACAACCTAAACATTTCAATTACCTCATCACAAATATCCCTCTGGAAAAATCTACTCAACGTGATTTTTTCAGAATCCTTAACACTAGAGAACTTCTTCTTAACCAAATAACCACAATCAAAGTTTTACCCACCCAAACTGCACACCTCACTACACCACACCCAATCAATCACGTTGAAGTCCAACGTCGACTCCGTGATGCGGTAGGTGATCCAAAAATCCAGATTTCCCCTAACCACAATCCTAATTCGACAGTTACCAAAAACACCACTACCCGCACACACAATCCCGGCTACATGGTGGTCGTCAAAGGAGTAGACAGAGTTTACTCCGACGCCGAATTAACCATCCTATTTACACAACTCAACATCCCTGTTATCCGTCTCTGGCGCATCATCTCCAGAGAGAATAAACCAACAACCTATGTTAAATTAATCACTTCGAGTGAATCAAAATACACGGAGATGCTGACCAGAGGCGTATACTTTGACGGGCTCCGTATGACCGTAGAACTTTCTTATAACTCCAACCCCGTTCCTCCCGTACCGAAGTACTGCGCCAGGTGCAGTTCAAACGGGCATACCATTGCGGAGTCCCCGCAAAGACAGTACAGGTGCCCTACTTGCGGTCAAGATCACAAATCCACTTCCTGCCCTACTCCACAAGCTCCTAAGTGCACTAACTGTGGTGGTGAGCATGCGGCCTACTCGGTCAAATGCCCACACAGAAGGGAAATCTCAAAAACCCCTCAAGAAACCCAACCAATAACCACCGACAAAAGAGACCCTCCCTATGAACTGTCTTCAGACATGAAGGCAGTCATGGAATTCACTTCCCTTATCCTCATCAACCTCCTTCCAGATAGGCGTCAGCTTATCTTGGACATAACTAACCGAATGTCCACTCTGATGTTCGGTCACAAGAGTACACTTGTGGCTCACAACAACAGAGCCTCCATCTCCTTCCTGCCCCTCTAATGGACAGTTCACTGGGTGCTGTAAACTGCCAGGGTGTTCGGAATAAACGACCCCTCATCAAACATATCCTTCAACATCATAATATCCAAATCCTAGCCCTCTCCGACACCCTTTCAAAAAGAGATCCAATATTTCCCGGTTACTGCACGGTACACCGTCCTAAAAGCCAAATATCTCGCGGTATTGGCTTCCTTATCAAATATGGTATCCCCTTTTCCCCTCACGTTACACCTTTGCACCTGAACCTTAATGATGTTGACTTCCTGGCAGTGGACATCCACCTTGACAATAACACGACAATTACAATAGTTTCTTATTACAAACATCCTCACCAGGACATGTCCGAAACTTTGTTTGATTATGTCTCTAGCCTCAATAAGGCAATTATTCTCGGCGACTTTAACGCCAGACACATACAATTTGGTGACACGGTCACAAATTATGCAGGCAATGACTTTTCGGACATGCTCATTAATCTTCCTATCCACCGCATCCGTAACCGTGAGCCGACTTTTGTGGGTCACCAGGGCTTGTCGATAGTTGATCATATTGTGTGTACGTACGATGTGATTGATCTATTGGATGACGAATGCTTTCTGGGCGATTCCATCACGTCGGATCACCTACCTTTGCTGGTTAAGGAACAGATATTTACACCCACCCCGCCTGCACCACCCAAAGTAATGAGACTATAAGCACGCTAACTGGGACCGCTACAGAGCCTTTCTATCAACTAACATTCCAGAGTTAGGCAATTTAATACACACAGATGATATCGATCAAGGTATCACGGCTATCTCTAATCTGATAAATCAAGCAATTGATATATCAGTCCCTAATAAGGTTATAAACCCTAAAAAGCCACCTCTACCACAATATATAATCAATAATATCAAACATAAGAGACGACTTCTACGTCAGTTTCAACGTACTCGAAATCCTCTTATCAAAACAGAATATAACCGCCTGTCCGCGGTGATTAAGCTACAGGTGAACGATATGCAGGTCAGACAATGGCGTGCGGCCACCTCTAGTCTTGATTTCCGCGACGGTGGTAAGTTCTGGCATAAATTCAAGTGCCTAACTAAACAGAAAACCAACAATCCATCTCACCTTTTAGTGAACAATCAAATCATAAACACACATCAACAAAAGGCCGACGCCTTTAAAATCCATCTACAAAACACTCTAATCTCACCTAATAATCCTAGATTTGACCCCGCCTTCCTGACTGCGACTGAAAGAGACGTAAACAGACAACTCGGTGCCCCTTTCGATCCTCAGGTGCCGCATGATCATCCCATCATGGCACCGGTGGATCAACAAACTTTCAAAAATTTTTGTCAAATTGGCAAATCGAATGCACCGGGTCCTGACAACATTGCCAGGAGCTGCGTGAAACAATTTCCTCCGAGTGTCTACCTTTATCTAACAAATATTGTCAATGCCACTCTCAAACTCTGCTATTTTCCGTCACAATGGAAAGTAGCAAATACAATTATGCTCTTAAAAAAGGGCAAACCCCGCACAGATCCTAACTCTTACCGGCCGATTTCACTTACAAATGTTTTAGCAAAAGTCTTTGAGAGAATCCTAAAAGAAAGACTCATTGACTTCATTAACGAACACAATATCATCCCCTCATTTCAATTCGGCTTTAGAGAAGGGTGCTCTACAAATATGGCATTCACAGAAATTGTCACACACATTTCTCAAAGTCTGAACGACGGCAAATTATCACTAGGTATTTTTCTCGATGTTCAAAAAGCCTTTGATCAAGTCTGGCATGTGGGACTGATCAAGAAACTACTGAACATTGGACTACCACTTCCATTCGTCAGACTAATCCAATCATACGTCTCTGAACGTCTGGTCAGGGTAAAAGAGCGTGGTTTTTTCTCAGATTCTTTTACTCCAACAGCCGGAGTACGACAAGGCTCCGTACTGGCTCCCATACTTTACACAATTTACAACAGTGACTTCCCAAATACCATACGAAACAATACCACCACTCTACTCTACGCGGATGACACTGCTCTAGTAACTACAGCGATGAACGTTGATTCTGTTCTCAGGTACGCTCAAAGTCACCTCAGACTAGTTGAAAACTGGTGCAGGAGATGGAGAGTGTCCCTGAATCCGAACAAAACTCAAATGATTCTCTTTAGACACCCTAAACACAGTAAACGTGCGGCCTCCTTTAACGAAAGAAACTATCTCACGCTCTGGGGAGACCGACTCCAACTCCGTGATCAGATCGAATACCTCGGCGTGGCGTTCACACGAACTCTGAGCTGGAGGGCCGATCTGAACATAGCCTGTGCTAAGGCCAGGAGCAGATTGGGTCTCCCCAATAGTTTGAGATGTAATTTCGGGGCTGCACACCCTAGAACATTAATTTTCACTTACAAAACCTTTATTAGACCTATTTTTGAATACAGAGCCAATATATATGCTACAATGTCAAAATCTGTCAAAGAAAATTTGTTAAGACTAGAGAGGAAGATTCTGCGTAGAGTGAATGGCAAACGTTGCGACTACCCCTCAGCCCTCATTCATCAATTATCTATTATTCAGCCCCTAAATGAGAGACTACACTGTCTGAGCAGAAGTTACACTACACGCACAATCCGGAGCCAAAACCTCAGAGCTCAACGCATCCTAAAAACTGTCTGCTCTTCCCGCGGCAATGTATTCACCAGACATCCTAAACCTAAAATCCCACACCTTCCCACTATTCTACTGGAACTCACCAGTAACGAACTCCCTGATGAATACATTGACATACAGGAGGCAACTCCCCTCTATTTCCGTCGCATTCCTAATTAAATTGCTCACTTAGAGCTTGCCTAGACAGGGGGGGATCGGTTTTCTGCGGTTTCCCGATCCCACTTGCAAATGATACCTGTCTATTGTGAGGATACAGCCGCAGCTGCCCTCTCGCGCCGCGTCATAACACATTTACTAATTATAACATATTAATGCATGACATATGTATTTATACATATATTAATATCTCATTTTTTCTACATATATCATTTTAATAAACACTAATACACTAATTATTTTAGAAAACAATTCTGAAAAGAACCGACCACAGCCTTTCTCCACTGATTGTCCTGGCTAAACCCCACCAGTGGACCAACGAAGAAAGAAAAATCAGAAGCCAACAACCAAAAAACAAAAACCACATCCTGAAGAGGCAAAAGCCTAAAACAGGATGACAAAACCTCAACAAAAGAAACAACACCAAACCAAAGAGAAAACCAACGCAACAGTGAAGATATCTCGGCCAGTCTGGTTTCTAGGTGGACCTTGTCCACTTTTTCAACTGTGTTTCATTTTATTTCCCTTGTGAGAAATGTAAATTATCTACCAAAGATGGTATTTAAATTATGTACCAAAGATACGAAGAGGGCACTTCGAGTAGACTGGTCGAAGTCCCTCTGTAAGGTACCGTGGAAGTGGACAAGTGGCCGTGCATTTTCCAGGCCCTTAAGTCACGCGTCGTATCTGGTGATATATTTTTACACACCAAGATACTGGTACATCTCGGGTGAGGGGTGTAGGCAGATTAAGACCCTAAACTTGAACGAAACCGTATACCTCATGATACGGACTCCAAAATGACTGCCGAAACGTCGAGTCTCAAATTCTCAACGCGGTTTTTGCTGCATATACCCCTGTTTGATAACTACTTTCTCTACTTTTCGCGTGATTTACGCTATAAACTAAAAATTAACTAATAAACACTACATATCAAAATAGCAAAAAAAACTTACCAAAACTGCTTACGAGCAAATTAAGCAGATAGGCTAAAGTAAGTTGAACACCATATACAGTTCCTACTACCACTTTTTGGGGCCTTAACGAAAGTTTTGGTTCAACTAGACCTAATATTGATAATATTACACCCATGTTGATTACAAGAAAAATTAACTAATAGCAAACGTTATGTAAAATAACACATTTTGACAGACTCATATCTTTTTTATTTACTTCTTTTAGGTGCTAAAATAAGTAAGATTAATAGTAAGATACAATCTTATGCAGATACGTTCGTTGATTAAATATTAGTGTTGTATAAATTATTAACTGATAAGATATCAAATATGTGAAAACTAGAACGATATGGTAGATGTTGATACAAGGAATTTAAAATATTTTTGCATAGGCGGCACTAAAACAAAAAAAAATACCTTTGATTAAATGAAAGGCATATATAGAGCACTGTTTTATTAATTAAATCTTGTCCAAGTACTTTTGCTTCCTAGAGCATCTTTAGGGACATCTGAAATAAGCCAAGAAACGTTTTTTTTAATGAAGAAATTAATTAACTTCGATAAAAAATTCGAAGTTAATGGATAATAAAAGTTTGTTGTGATTAACGTTTTAGACTTACTTCGTCAAATTTTGGGCTATCCAACAATTGCAGAATGTCATAAACATAAAATTGAACATAAACCTACCCTATAGTTTATTTTTATGAACGAGAGAGTAATTAGCATAATTTTAACTGGTACCTCCGACCACTCCATGGGCGTGCTCAAGATTAATTGAAAAATTACTTTAAATAATTGTATCCATTACTATTACACAGTTCTTAGGAAGAAGATCTATCATTTGTTCGAACCATTCTTGAAAGACATCAGCGTTCATGTCTTCATGGTAGTCACCGTTACGAGTTGATTCAAAAGTTAATAAACCACCTTCAACAAAACCGTCTGAACTGCCAATGTGTACTATTATCAGCCTGCGTCCCTTTCCTGATAGTGGGTTTAAACCAGTAGATAAGTTATTTACAAAAGCGTGCCTTTGACTTGTAACAGTTTCACCCTGCCAAAATTTATTTGGTGTATGACCCTCGTTGATCCATGTTTCATCAAGATAAAATATTTTTCTTTTTTGGTTTCTCATTTCCTTTATGGTTCTTAGAAAATGTCTTCTCCATATGACAATATCGCTTATTTCTAATAAAATAGACTTTCTGGGATTCTTTTTCCAGCGGAAGCCTATTTCTTTTAAAAGTTTCCATAACGTACTTCGACTCATTTCTGGGTAATCCTTATCATCTCGAACTGAGACAAGAACTTTATCCAATGTTGGAAATTCTTGTCTAAACAAGAATTCATGCACTTTCCGTCGAAGTCCTTCTTTAAAATGATATTCTATTTGAAATTTTGATTTCCCTGGAGCATTACGTGGCATTTGAAAACTACCACATTTCTCTTCTTTAAAAACTCTGTAAATCGTAGATTTCCCAATACCAAGTGTACTGCTAACTAACTCAACGGTCTCATAAACACTTTCACATAAACGTTTGTAAATGATTTAAAGCAATTAAATATTAATGTTTTTTCATTAACTATTAAAGGACCAATTTTTCGGCGTTTGCACGGCACTTCCAAATTTTCCATAACACTAGTATACACAATAAACTGCACCTTGCAACTGAAGTACCTACTTTTAGTGAACTGTTGAGAATTTTGAATACGCCACTTGGACCTTCCTACAAAATGCAAAAACCCACTATCATATTTTCTGTGGAATAAGTTTAGAAGGTAATTATCTAGTCAATTACTGTCGTAGATTCCTGGAATTAAAGAATTAAATGTTTGATTGTTGAAACCCTTACTTCGTGGAATGCACTCATTTCAGATAAAATAAAACGTTTTATTTTATCTAAAGAATTAAACTTTATTTTGCAAATAGGTAGGTACTTATTAAACTTTTATTGGTTATATATAACCAATAAAATAAACATCTTACATTTCTTGCAAATTCATTAGTACCTGTTAACCTCCATCACTCCGACACTGGCAACCTTATTTAGGGATTAGTAACCCTCACAACTATTGTATTCTATTCTGCTCCAACCTTTATACCTGGTGGTCATACTCAATTTAAAATTGTTTTCCTATATACTTCTGTAAACTTGTTGACAAATATCTGTTTTTCATTGAGTCACCCGTATCAACAGTTTAGAGATTTGCATACATAATTTATTGTTTTATTACTCTCTCATATATAAAAATACACTATAAACAAGGACAAATAGTTTAAAATTACTTAAAAAATAGTGGAAACTCCATTCTTGTCGGCATCAGGTGAGAGAATGTCTCCCGGTATTAACGGAAATGTTAAGGTGACATTTGACATATGACAGCTTGGATGGTCAATCACAATCATGCAGATGTGATCTGCACATTTCAAAATTCTATGTAACTAAGCATTGACCAAAGGTCCAACTGACACTGCTATAGGAAATCAACTGTTGAAATATAACATATAGAATATTTTAACTAGATTGCATAATCCAGATCTCACACTTACACCTGTCTATAATACTTAGGGTTTAAGTTTGAGAGCAGCTGAAGTGGACATAAACTATGAATGCAAGAAAAGACTAAACAATCTATTAGATAGTGGGTGGTTGACTACAATAACAGGGTCTACCAGGCACTATCAATACTGTAGAAAAGAAGAAATCTGAATATGAAATTAAAATATAAAAAACCAAAAAACCAAAATTGAAAGCAGTGTATAAATGGTGTATAATTCAAGTAGTTCAGTTATATCCCCAGTCAATGGGAGAACTAAAATTAATATGTAAAAGCGTTTCTCAAGACCAACTGACCAACAGTGGGAGATGTTGAAATATACAACTGTGGAGATGGTATATCTAAATTACGCAGAGGTATGGAGAGTGTAATTAACTCCAACTATAGATTAATTGAACCTGGGCACAGTATAGTGCTTTAAAGCACTATACTGTGACCTGGGCAAGCTAGTTTTGTAAATTGTTGAAATATAAAATAGTAATGTTGATCAAAGTATGAAATTAATAAATGCTTATTGGGTATACTCAGTGCAGGAAGTCTAAACAGCCGAGCTGGGTCAACTACTTGATGCTTTCATCAAGTCCTCGTAGACACACCTGTCTCAGGACTAGCAACTTCACGTGAAGTCATACGTCGCCATGTTACCAAGTCTACTGGTAACTGTAACATTATAATACATAATAACACATAATGTAAACTAAATTTAAACAAACAATTTTTAACGGGTTTTTACCCACATATTTAGTGGCCACATACATGTATACCTAGACACTGATGATGGAATATGGATTCCGAAAACGTGTTGTGATATAGCCCGTAATTTGGGTTTTTAAATTATATATCTTTTATAAAGGATTTTAATAAATTTTTTTATATATGGTATATAGCCAACTACAGGAACTTAGATTCCTTGTGAATTTCTTATTATTTCTAGTCGAAAGTCATAAAGAGACAGTTTTGTTCTAGAATATTTGTTAAATAAAAAATAAGAGTTTACTAAAATCACTTGTAGTATATGTATACCCAATTTTGTCTACCAGCGAAGGGTTTCTCTTTCGAAAGAATAGTATGATAACATTTGATCTTTGCGATCAACACCACTCATATTTTTATTATATTCGGCGATTGGAAGAGGTTTAAGTTTTTTGTTTTCGTTTGTTCTCACAATCTACCATAACATTGCTGAACTCAGTGGATATATACATTACTTCCCGTTTATCGACCCATTTGCCAACAACAACGCCGTTTTTATATTTTGCTACTGACTTGCCTTTTTTAACTTGGCTTTAGAAATTTCTACTGGATTTCCTTGTCTTCTTCCCAGAATAGTTCCTGTACAATATGTTTTGTTCTTCATAAGTGTTTCGGAAAGGTCCACACTCATGTAAAAATTGTCCATAAACAACGAGTGACCTGCATTTAGATGTTTGTGCATCAATTCCATGACAACTTTTTTTGAATGGTCTGTTCCGGCGGTAGTATCAAATTTACCAGCATAAACTTTCATATTTTAAACTAATGAATTTTTATACCAAATTTATGGCACTTGTTTTTAATATACATTCTAAAACAGAGACGACCACGCCATAAAACTACTGATTTATCAAGGGAGAGATTTTTATCAGGCCGAATTTTGTACGGCTTGTTCTCTATAACTTCTCCTACCTCTGGATTTTTGACAAAGTGCGGACACCTAAGAATTAACAAAAAACGGTCTTTACTCATATTTTATGGGAAACACTTTACATTAAAAAGACTATCAGTTTTCCTCTGTTGGTTTTCCATGTCCCAATGCGTAAGAGTAGCCCAAAAAATTTATGTAATTCTTCGTTAATGAGTGGTTTCCAATTTGTTACTCTAGATCTTTCTGTAACACACGATAGAAATAATTGTTCAGCATAAAGATTCGTTTCTGTCACTATCAGCTCAAAAAAAAGTTTCATCCGCCAGAAAACGAAAGTAATCAAAAGGTGTCTTACTTTGTGGTGACTCTACCAACAAGTTGCAATATCCAATAAACTCAAATTGTTTCATTCCATCATGATCATTTTGCCATTCATGTGTATTGGGATGTATTTGTTTTCCGATGAAATATATTCATCTTCACTATCTGATTGTGTTACAAAGTATTCAAGTTCTTCTTCTGTTACTTTTTTTGGGTTTTTTACGGATATTTTTTACGTTTTGGCTGAGAACAACCTGGCTCTGCGTTCTCCATCATTGCAATAGTTAAAAACGTATCAGAATAAAGGGAAACAACATAAGTGACAACTGTGACGTAACTTCCGTTACCTGATGCTACTCTTAGATGCTGATGTAGCAAATAAGCGCACAACTGTCGTGCTAATAAAATATCATACTATAAATAGAAGTCATGTTTAAAACGCGGATCCGCGCCGTTAGCACCGAGGAATGAATGTTTTTTTTATTTAAACATAGAGAACCCACATCAACCACCAAGGGTTATTAGTGGGGGTACATACACAGTAGTACAGTTTGATAAATTAAAATTTATTATAAATGTTTATGTCTTTTAGAAACTGCAATAAATCCGAGATATTTGTCGTAAGTGCACTTCTCAGGTTTTCACTAATTCCTCGGAATGTTCTCTGAGGTTGGAACTGCGGACAGTCGACTATCAGATGCTTCA